GTCGTTTGTTATTGTTGCCTTGAGCATTTAGCTGGCCCGGCTTATCGGGGAGGTCGTGTGGTTTCCAGCTGGAAAAAAACCCTCTTAAATTATCGCACTCGTTTCCATTAACAACCGAAAACTAACTGCAGAAAAGGGGGATTTCCATTAACACTTTTAGCTTGATTTCCCCAAGCTCCTCTACTTGCGAATCTCAAATTAAAACATAGGTTATGCAGTGCCAAGCTAATAAAGCACCAAGGCTTTTATTGCATCTTTATAAAGAATAATGACTTCCCATTTGACTAGCTCATATCTCTCTGATAGGCTATTTGTATCTATATTGGACCTGGGCCAACTAGCTCTTATATCTTACATCTTTTGGAAATTGGCAGAAAATATTTTGGCACAATTACCAACTTTAATTGTGCGTCAAGTTGTCAGATTTTTCCAGATTGTACACACCAAATGTGAGAGATCAGATACAAACTATAAATAAATATATATTTAAAAGCTTTAAAGCTTTTAATTTTGCTAAATTGATTAGCCTTTGTCACTCATGGCAATTATAAATGCATCTTCTAAACAATAAATTAATGGACAAGATATTAACATCCATTTCGCTAAACCACATTTTTGTCAACATGTTTATGTGAAAACTATTTTGGTCATTAACAGTGGCATTATTCTGGTCCATAGCTAAAGCCATATATCGATTTGCACGTCAGCAACTTAGGTGTCTTGTTTAATGCAATCAGGATTAATAATTGGCGTTGGCCTGGTCGTTTGGCAAACAATCAGTCCATTATCTCGAATACCCAGAGGGCTTACGTCAACATCAAAGTGCACACAATATCCTGGCTAATCAGTGGAAATGGGCGATGGAAATGCATTTGCATTTGCATTCCCATCTCCACTTTGGCACTTTGGATCGGAAATGCGCAAGTATTTCTCACGAGATTCGTTTTGGCCCTGCCTGTTCATTATTTTCCCATTCAACATAGTGGCCTGATTTTGTTTTTGGGCCTGGCCAAAAGCCGGATTGAAAAGTGTTGAAAACCCTTCACCAACTGTCGTCATCGCTTGCCTTGGTGAAAAAGCCGTAGAAAGGGAGGGAGAAAAGCTAAAAAAAAAAACTGGCATATAATTGGCGTTGATTTATTGTCTTTGGTAGGCGCAACGAGATTTGCCCACGAACCTTATGGTCGAATGCCAAAAACAAAAACTTAGGCAAAAAATTCAATTGTTGTAGGGCCCAGAGCAGCAATTGGGGCAAAAAAGTATATGATATACGTACCCAGATATGCCGTGGATATATCCGCAATTTAATAATGCTCTCGAAATTGTAGTGGGTCTGTGGTTTTTGTGGTCGCGTGTCAGATCGATTTGGAAGCTCCTATTTAGATATCGCCTCGTTGCCTTGCCAGCTTGGCACTCCTCTCATTGTGCCAGTCTGTCTATGTTGTCCATGAAAGTGGCATGAAAACAGCAGGGAATGACAATGAGCCAGGCTCGGAGACATGAAACCCGCACAGTGTCATTAATATGAAAAGGCTTAAAGCTGGGAATAAAAAATTGTAAACGAATTTATTTTAATTTAAGTATAAAATATAGAAAAAGTCTGGAAATTGAACCATATTAAACTTTTAAACATCCGGAATAATTATTCTTATCATTTACCTTGATTAGAAAATGCAAATTTGATTTTAGGCATTAAAATGGAAATATTCCAACGAATCTATAATAAATTTAATTAAAGCATTGATTACCTTGTGTATTTTGTCAAATTGTTGATTGCCTATCAAATATTCTATTTTATAGAAACATTCAGCATTTAACCTTCAGTTTCGGCAATATTTGCTCATATTTTTACTTGTTAAATAAAACATTTCGTTTATTTGTCCACTGCAAATCATTAGGAAATTTCCCTGCTGCTGCATGGTTTTATTTTATATATATAAACTGCCTCGCCAGCAACGTCAAATATTATTTTGTATAAATACACAAACCACTGTTGACAATTCCCATTTGACAGAGAGTGGGAGGCCTGGCGTGCGTTCTTGTTTAGTTTTAGTTGTAATTTTAGTTTTCTTTTTCAGTTTCATTTTCATTTTCATCATTCGAGTGGCATTGCATGACTGCATGCAAGTTGGTTCTGCCCAGGCCAAGCCTTGTCCTTGCCTCAAATGCTGCTGCTGCCGCTTCTGGTGCTGTTGTCGTTGCCATTTATAAGTTTAAGTCCTGACATGCCACACACCCCAGGACCCGCAAAGCCCCCCTTATCTTGGCAGCAACAAGAACAACACAATTAGACAAATGAATAAACATACAGTTCGTGGCAAGAAAATTTGCATATCCCTTTTGCCATCCGACTTAAGTGCATTTCGGTGTCTCTCTCTGTGTGTAGAAATATTTCATTGCCAATTGGCAATTGGCTAATAAGGATTTTCGCATTATAACGTTTATACTCTGACCTGGTTTAATATTTAATTAGCTTCGCCCTGGCAATGAATGGCTTCGACTCGACCTGGTCGGTTGCCTGGCCATTCGAGGGTGTTCGTGCGCTCTTTGCCGGAAGCACATGTCGTATACGTGATATTTGACAAACATTTTACATGCACACACAGGCATACTTGCACCCACACGCAGGCCTCGCCAAAAACTGCATTTGAAATTAATGTGTGTGAGTTTGTTTGGTCCGGGTGTGTTAAAAAGGAATGTTACAGAGAGAGAAATCTAGACTTTATATATTTATTAAATATTTTTCTGCAAAGTGGATGAATAATTAATAACAAACAATATATGATAATATTATTTAGAATTATTTATATATTATTATAGAAATATTATTATTTTTATCCATTTTTGGTCTTTATAGTTTACTAAAAACCCTAACAAAAGGGTTATAAAAACATCAAAAAATCTAGGGACCCTTAAAACCCCTCAAAGACATAACAAATTTTTTATAATATTGATTATATATCTTAAGAGCAACTAAATTCTCAAAATAGAGCTATTTGCTTTAAGTGCATACGAGGAAGCCCTGGCCAATGCAAAAGGCGTGACTCCAACATGGTTTCAAATGTTGTAAAATGCAAGCGGTTGCACGCATACCACTTCTCCTCTCCACCACTTTTCCCCCTCATTATCCAACAGTTTTCCCACCGACTGGGCCACAGAGATTTGTGCAAAATAGAGTCATGAAATTAGTTGGCTGCAGCTCGAGCAGCTAAGTATGACATTGTATTCGGTTTTATGGCTCTCTTCGCCTTTAATGCTATTTATGCTAATGGCAGGCAACATTTAGCAGTTGCTTGTGGCTTAAAGAGTTAAGTCAGAGTATTTTCATGGCCCCTTAGAGTTAAAGTTATTGATTCCACTTCGAGTTTGTCTGGTTGGGGAATGCATAAATATTTAAGTCTTACTTTGGCGATTTATAAATTATTTATGTATTCAACAAGAAAGTGCGGAAGAGCCTGAAACCCGTAAAGCTACTGGGAAATTAAGATTTTTGTCAGAACATTTTTGGCAAACTTTTATAGGGTACTTGGAGTTTAGCAAGATATATTCAACCGACAGGAATGGCTAAGATTGATAGAGAAATAAAAAAAACTATATTTACAAAAACGAAGTTGAAAATAAAGAGGAAATTATTATTTAAATTAGCCATTAGATTAAACCCTAAAATTCAAACAGGATGGGTGAAAAGTGAAATAGAAAAGTAACGGAAGTCCGAGAAAACGGAATAGAAATACTTTCACTTGGATTAAAAGTGTCAAAGCTATTTCCTTTCGTAGTGACCCCGTTTTCGGTATATCTACCGCTTAATCAATTCCAACTGAAAAATAACCGTGACGTCGGAAATGGAAATTCCCTTCCCACCATTTTCTCGTCCTAAGCTAACAAGAGTCCTGCCTGTGTGTGTGTCTGTGAGTGTGGGTTCAAATAGAATGGAAATGCAAAATGGAAATAGAGTGGAAATAGTCTGCAGCACACACTTTTTGACTTTTCGCTGATAAATATTGAAGTGCTGTTGAAATTTGTCAGAGAGTGAAAAACGGGAAAAGTTCGCTGAAGATTTGATTTAAGCCGGTGCAAGCGAGTCATTGCAGGAAAATTCAATTTGTGGATTTATGGGATTGGATTTATGGATTGGTTTTATTATGACGAATGAGCAATGAACGTAATCGAATATTCACATAGAATTGGATGGAGAAATTACTAACACAGGTTCACTAATAACTCCATAACAGGCTCTTATACTAATTTCATGACCTTTTAATACCTCATCATTACCTTGCTTGTGTATTTTCGAATTAAGCATGTTTATTTTCCCGAGACTTGCAACAACATCAACTACAGAACTCAATATCCTAAGCTGATTTGCATTATGCTTATGCTTTCGAAGCAAATTGCAAACCCAAAGTCGGAATGAATTCGCCTTCAATTCATTTGCATGCAAAGTGCTCATTAATTTCATCTGGGCAGCAGCCTTGCCACTCCCCCAAAAACACCTCACCGCCCTATTTAAGCTCTGCAGAAATTGCAGCGAAAGGTGCTGCAAGTACACCAAAGAGCGCGCATAACTCGATTCGCCTTTGATTTATGGCACGCAATAATAATCTTCATTTGCATGTTGCCTCAGGCAGTGGGAGCCAACTGGGCGTATACTCGATGTGCTTATATATAGAGGTGCAAATGTGGGATGTGGGCCCAAAGGTGGCTGCGGCTACGAGTTGCACTTCCGGCAGCTGCAAGTGTCCTTGCTCTGGCTAACAGCACTGATTTTTGTGAACTGGAAGAAATATTGTTGAGTTTTTGGTCCTTTTTATAGAAAATAAAAACAATAAAAACTTAAATGAAAAATGAAGATTTTAAAGAAAATTTGAATAAACCTTTCCCATTTATTAGGTAATTTGAAATCTTTGTATATGTAATTTTGATATTTTTGCACTTTCCATATGTTATTTTCTAAAGTGTATCACCTAACTCACCTGCTCTCTCCTTACCTTTACTTACAGCAATGGTTGCCTCATTAGCGACTTAGCAGAATGGCGCAAAGGAAACCGTAACCAAAAACCACCAAAAAAAAGGGATACGTTGAAAGGGATTGAGAACAGCAGCTGCTGGTGAAAAGGTGGAGAAACCATAAAAAAAAGAGGACAAAGAAATTGTATACTCAGAGCGAATTTTAGGCATAATGAGTTCACTTTTGGGCCCCTAGAAAACCGAGCACCTCAAATGCAAATTGATATTAAGCCGCCAATCATAATCAGCACCGAAATTAATTAAACACGGCAACGCAGCCAGTCAACAAACAATAAGTAAGAAGCAACCATGGCCTCACCACCGGAGAGTCCCATCGAGGAGGTGGTCTATGAGTTGGAACACACACGAGTGCCTAAGCCCATTCCCGTTGCCCTCGAGGATCTGTGCCGGCAGACCAAGTTTACGAAGCAGGAAATCCGGGTTATGTACAGAGGATTCAAAACGGTGAGATATTAAGTTTATATTATCTAAAAAACTATGAAAAATGGAATTGAAATGCATTCATTAGTATAAGAGGCTTTATGGTATAAGGCCATGCTAAATAAAATCTGAGTTTTAATCTCTAAAATCTCTTAATGACTAAATAAGTCCCAGAATAACAAACCTTCCACTTCCCCCAAATAATAAACCTTTAAATTTTATGACCCAAAGACAACTCTCTGACCAGTTGCAGTATGAAAAGGATGAAAGCTCCTCAAATGGATGTCCTTTTAATGCACACGCGTTTTGAATTTCATTGCAAATGAATTTTCCTCTTGCGAGAAATTGTGTGTCCAAGCACTTTTCCACCAAAGAGTGCGGAAAATAGAAAATGGCCAACTCAGCGAAAAAGTTTCAATATGTGGGTCAACAAGAGATGAGCTCGGGGGTCAAGTAAATGGATAGTTTGAGCCAGAGATAGTTTTGGCTCACTTGGAGTTCGCCTTATTGACAGTTTGCCCCATTGATAGTTTGTCTTTTTGACATTTTGCTCTGTAATAGTTTACCTTAACGATTGTTTGCCTTTATGATACTTGATGGGTGACTTTTTGTTTTGTATTTTTTGAATAAGTAACACTTTTAAGGTACTTTATATGGAAACTATAATGAATTATTAAAGAAAACGAAGATTTATTTTAGTAATAATTATAATAACATTTTAAGACTTACTTGTGAGCATCTCAAGAAAATACATTCCGGATCATGCACTCTCACAAGTTATGCAAGATTCCTCGCGGTCTAGTCCTGTTCGCCCTTTCAGAACTCGCTGTCATTACATTTGCCTTTTTCTTTATTAACCGAGCAAACACTTTCATGGCGATTTCCTTTTTTTTCGCAGGAATGCCCGGAGGGCGTGGTGCACGAGGATTGTTTTAAGGATATTTACGCCAAATTCTTTCCACATGGCAGTAAGTATTTGCAAATGTGTGTGTATGTGTGTTTTGTGTGAGAGTATAAATGTCCCTCATTGGGGATGTGTATATGTGTGTGGGTGCGGGTGCTGTCGCTGAGGTCTTATGCTTTTCCTTTTTATAGTTGCGCGTCATAAAGCGCCATTTAAGCGAACATTTCGTCCTTGCAGCAGCTGCGCCCAAAATGCCAAAATACCAAAACACCCAAATAGCCAGAGAAAAACCGTATAACCAGAGAGAAGAAAAAAATCACCCTGACACGCCTCCTTTGCTTTTTCTATTTATATAGATTCGAGTTTATACGCTCATTATGTGTTCAAAGCGTTCGATGTTAATTGCAATGGCGCCATTAGTTTTCGGGTAATTATTTCTCATTATATTAACATTTACGCAATCTCGCCCAGCCATACTTATTTTTATATATAATTTAATGGCTTTTATTAGGATTTACTGGTCACCTTATCGACCTTGCTAAGAGGCTCCGTATACGAGCGACTGCGTTGGACCTTCAAGCTGTACGACTTAAACGGAGACGGAAGGATCAGTCGCGGCGAACTTAGCGAAATCATCTTGGCCATTCACGAGCTTATGGGTAGGAGACCACATCAGCCTGAGGACGATCGCAAGGCGAGGGATCAGGTGAGGAATTCTATAAAATTTATTAAGACTTGAATTGTTATACATTCTGTATGCAGAGGAGCTTTATTCCGCATTTCACCATAAACAAGATTTAAGCTTAAAATCCTTTTCAAAATAACGAATTCCGAGAGCTCTAGGCTTTTCTCCATATTCATTGGAATTCCTCTGTCGCAGATTTGTATGCTTTATTCATTATACAAAAGCCACACTTCATAAAACGTGCTGCATCCGTTGACGTAAGTCAGGCGCACAGTGCGTATGAGTAATTATGATTGGGAACATACATATACGCCTGCATACTCACACAGAAATGTGTTCATATGGAATGCATAAGATGTGAATCGAAATTGCATCGGCATCGGGTGGAAAACGAGTGAGTGGAAAACGGAAGCTTTCAGGTGCGGAAACAGCAGCGGATATTTTACTTAATGATGAAGGTTTCACTTTTTTCCGTTGATATTGCTCAAATGAAAGGCGCTGAAATTGAAATGGGGGATTAAATTAAATACGATTTTCTGACAGTCAAAAGTTTAACAGAAATATGAAAGGAAAAAAAGGATAATAAACTTATTGTGACTAAACCCATTTCAGGTCGATCGTGTGTTTCGGAAACTGGACTTGAATCAGGATGGCATCATAACGATAGAGGAGTTCTTGGAGGCCTGCCTGAAGGACGACTTGGTAACGCGATCGCTGCAGATGTTCGATAACGACCTTTGATGACAAGAGGGCGAGCTAGAGCCAGGGCTGCGCCATTCCAGGACTATAATATCTCTTATAGATCTTTAATTGCAATAAGCAACGCTAAATGCTAATTGACAAACCCCTTTAAAAAAACAAGAAAAATATTACAAAAAAAAGAGAAAGAAAACCCCAAACTAAGATGAAGAACACCAGTGAAATTGAAATGGAAAACGAGGAAATGAAACATATTAGTAATTACAATTAGTTTAGGCAAAATATCGAAGGAGGAAGAGGAGATCTTTAAACTTTATGAGTGTGTTATTATATAACTAACGATGAGGTCGTCGAAGATTGATTATAAAAAGAATATGTAATTTTTTGAGCATATTATGAATTTAATCCTGCCGTGAAAAGCGAATTGGTCTTATATATATATGTATTTACTATATAAATATGTACATGTATGATATATGTATGTGCAAATGAAATTCATTTCGAGAACAAAACTAAACTAAACCACCAAACCAAATGTTTGATTCAGGAATGGAATTGGTATACCGATAACAAGAGAAACCGAGCTCTCAACACGATTTACTTTACTATAAATATGCATAACAAATAATAGAATACTAAAATATAAATTTACACTTAGCTAACGTAATATAGATCACCCTTATTGTGTTAACTAAACAGATTTTTTCAAGTTTTCTCATTTCGCGCCGAATAAATTATAAATTTAAACAGTTTGAGCCATTTGCTTCACTGTCAATTAAAAAATTAAAGACGAAACAAACGATAAATTAAATTAATTCAGACTGTGGAAAATTCTATTAGGCCCATTTTCAATTTGCATTTGTTTTGCATCAACTAATTGAATTTACAATTTGTCACAATAAAGCTATCTCCTAGCAATATTGGTTTAAAAAAAGGCAAAAAACATATAGATACTATATAAACACATGAATAAATAATGCCTGGGTTTTGTGTGCCCAACCAACCACCGATATATAAAAATAGCAACTTGACAATTACGCTTTATTTAATATTTATACAAGGCCGTGTTGATTTTTTAATGTTAACTGCAATTCACAACATGACTCTTGAATTAAATTACATTTTTGTTAAATTACACAGCCTAGGACAGACGTATATTTACACACAAACCCCCACATATTTTGTACACCCACACGTATTTCATTACACCCCCCAAGAAGAAAACCTTTAGAGGGAGGACTTCAGGAATGGACTAAAGTTGTGCAGCGAAATGAAAATGTAACATAATAATGGAACGGTATCGTTTTTATAGAAAACTCATACACAAACATTGAATGCTTAATTGTGCATGGACAAGACAAGACAATCAATGTGGTTTGATATTTCCCTTTTTCCCCATTTAGTTCTACACATTGTTCTTCCATTGTTGCTCCAAACAAAAAACATATTTCTCTATGGAAAAGCCTTAAGCGAAAAACATTAAGATGTGAAAAATCAATGTTGAAACTGTTTCATTTCATAATTCAACTTAGCTGGTGTTGTTTAACTGTGCTAACTGTCTAATAGAGAAACGAAATATCTAAATGTTTGGTTTCAAAGCCATGCCAACAGTAAATATAACATTTAGAGGCCTAACAGAGATTCTGCCATAATTAAATTTAGGTTGAATCAGAGCTACATCAAGCCTGCAACATTTGTTTCAAGAAAATACTCTTCCACCACTTTTCAAACAGAGGTAAAATGTTACCTTTCCTAACAAAGAAACAAACTCCCATCAAACGGCAAAGCCATTCCTTCATCAAATAATCTTAGCATTAGTAAATGTGTTTAACAAGAACCATTTGTTGAAAAAAAAAAAACACCTAATCTTGGCTAAAGAGAAAGCTATGCGACCTACTCGGTAAACCACCCACAATTTCTAACTCTTAAGAAACGATCTATGCAATATGAACGTACACTGTCCAAGAAAAAAAAGAAACAAAAGGAAAAACCGAAATGGCAAACTTATTGATATTGATAACCTATCATTCGAATTGAGGAAAGCTAAGTGTCTAACTAGTCAACATAATAAATAATGAAATTGAAACGCTTATACCTAATGTTAAAACTAAAGTTAAACTAAAGAAATTTATTTAACCAACCGAATTGGAAGATAGTGTTATGAAATCGGTTTTAGCTGCTAAATGTCCTGTTAGATTACGAGAACGAGAATCTATACTATGCCATAATTGTTACTAGCTAGATGGAATAAGTTTCCGAAACCAGAACTTAATATGTGTAACTAAAGTGTAGTAACCTATTTTTAGCATTACCTTTACATTACTATGTTAAAGTCATTTTTCGTTTGAAACTAAATTTAATCCAAATGTACCTATAGTAAATGTAAATTACGATAATAATTTTTCAGCCTAAGCGATATGTATATGAAAATCCAAGATGTTAATTCCCCAAAGCTACCATCAAAGATCATTAAATCGAAATCCTTAAGTTAACTAAATAAATTATTAATGCTATCCCTCTGAATAATAATACATGAAGAGAAACTTAACAAGAGAAAACGTGGTTAGTGATTTGGATTGGTTATAAGTAAATGATAGGAGAACCCTCTAAGCGTTTATTAAAATAATACAACTACAATAACTATTCTAAAGTACGTCATGACAAATCCATCTATGTGTAAATTTATAAATTTAATTCATTTAATTGTCTAAAGATCCTGTTAATTCCCTTAAGCATTCATTAAACCAACCAATTTAAAAAAAACCAAGGATCTATTTGTTGTCAACTATCCAAAGAAACATAAATGGTTAACTTTGCTAAAAAATAAAAAATAAATATGATAAATCAACTAAAATGTACCTTTAGTTAAATATTGTCAACTTAGAAAAAACCTAATCAAAGTTAAGTTTAGTAGATCCCATAAAAGCCTAAGTTCTGGAACACCTTCAGTGGAATTTCGTTGTACCTAAGTTTTTGGTCTGATAAATAAGACATAAAATTAAACGACAGACAAAAATAAAACAGTTCTTATGCCACTTAATATAATAACAAAACAAAAAAGAAATTGAAACCAAGCCCAAACACAAAATGGGTAAAGAGTAAAACAAATAAACAATTTTAATAAAAATAACACTTTAATTAAGTACCTTGCTTAAGTGTTTTTATTAAGAGGGATTAACACTTATTCCTTAACCCAAACCCATAAAAACATTTTAATATTGTTTTAATTATCTGTTTTATTGTATGTTTATTTATTTGAAATATCAGTTTGTATGCCGCTGTTTTCTATAATTTATCTCATTTATTCATAATGATTCAGTGTTATCTGCACCTTTGTGTTGGTTTTATGTTGTTAAATACAGATCTTGAGCATCGTTTATATTGCTTAACTTTTTCAATTTTATGTTAGATGCTTTTCTAAATGTGCATTTCTGTTCATACAAACTATGTATTTTTCACATGTTATGAAGATGCCGAGTTGATTGTATTTTTGTTTGAAGAGTAGATTTAGGTAATGATTATTTTGTTTTTGATTTTAGATGCTGATGAAGTTATGTATGTTATAAATATTTTGCTACGTTCAAGTCTGCTTAATATTTAGAGAACTTTTTAATTTGAAGATTTTATTTCCTAAATATTCCAATGTCTTGCTACAAATCCAACAGATGAACGTGATTTTTATGAGGTTTAATTCTTAGCCTACAACTTTATTCATTTTTATTTGATTTAACTTCATGAAATTCCGCACGTAACTACTTACTAAGAAATGTTAAAATAAATAATTTACTTAAATGTGTAAATTTAAATACAATATATATTTATTTAAATTTGTATGTTTTTGTTTTTTGTTGTAAATTTAATATAATTTTGTTCTTGGATTGGTTTTTGTAGATTTGATTTATTAAAACGTTGTGAAGGGGTACAAAGTGTGACGTTCAGGCTACGCTTAACTAACAACAAAATTCACATATAACAACAATAAAATGAAAATGTTACAAAAAATATATGTATCCTTTAATTAGTTTATGGTGTATGGTAAAAATACAATGTAAATATAGAGACTTTTTGTTTCTTTCGTGTGTACTTTTCATTTAACATTTTGTGCTGATTTCCTTGATGGTTTCCCATATAAATAGTGGCCAAAATAATAATTTCTATCGATGCAGGTAAATTGGATTCGACAAAATTCGAGTTTCAAGTGTGTGGGATGAAAAAGGTCAACAGAATGGCCAAGAGTTAATTAAAACCATTTTAATATAACCTTGCAGATCTTACAAAATAGGCTTATTATTATCATTTAAATGTTTTTGACAAACTTCTAAGCCTATCCACAGAAACTATCAGTTTTTCAACTTGATCTACATAAATTATTGACAGACTGATCACCTTGGTCGAAAATTCTATAGCCCCTGCAAGGTTATAAAAATATCGACATCTGTTTTAGACAGACGTAAGTTAATATTGACCAACTTGATGCTTGGGGATGGATAGTACAAGTTATAAATATACAAAATGCTGCTTGTCAACAGAATGGCCAACACTTACTTATAATTTCCTAACATTTTGTTTTTGCTCCTTGCTTATGCTCAAATAAATAAGTCGTAAATAAATTAAATTACAATTTTGTAAATACATAAAATATTTGGCATTTTAATTTCGTGAAGCTCTATGAATTGAATAGTTTTCGATATTTAGCACAACATTTTGCACAAAGTTAAGAAGTGATTTGAAAATATATATTTTGGGCTGGGTCTTTGGATGGCAATGCGTTTTAGCCAGAACAAAAATCTGTCAATCATTCTCATTCTTGTGGAATGCTGTTATCATTTTCTTTTTTTACATACATACGTATATATGAATTCATATATCTTTTGGCATTGTGTTTAGCATACAAAAATGGTCGCAGAAAAACCAAATTGGTAATCGATTCAAAATTCGTATGGAGAGAAAATCAATTGTAAAAGAAATTTGATTGCTTTTTCGTTTTTTTTTACAATATTTCATTTGTTTTGGCATTTAACATTATACTTTTGTGCTTATGCTTGGATCTATATATTTAATATATAGTATGTATCTATGAATTCGAAACTTTCTCGCTAGGCTAAGTATTATGGAGCTGCTTATGTTTTTCGTACATATATATGTAGAGTTTACTGTCTGCGTTTTTTTCTTTTTGTGGTAGAAATATTTTGTTAAAAAAGAGTTGTTTGTTTCTGCTCTGCTGGCATATCAAGTTCATATAAAGTCGACTCAAAGACTCTTTGGATTGTGATAAAAAAACATTCCACAAACTCCAAAAAGTTGTCACATCCCATCAAATACAATTGCTCAGCTTGATCGTGTTGTTTTTCGCTTGTCTTGTTGTTGTTAAAAGTACTACAAAATTGTGTTGTTGTCAGTTGTTGTTGTTAAAGTATTGACCAGGGAACACCGTGCATTATCTCGCTAGCCTTAGCCGCTAAATGCCTCGCCCCATTCGCACCTCGTCTTCAGTAATAACGCTCGGTATGCCTCCGTTTCGATTTGGTTTGTTAGTACTTCTCATCGTCCGTGATTTCCCTATGGGAGTTCAGTAATTCTCAGGCCTTGTAGTGCTGGTTCCTTACCGCGCAGCACAGGCTCAGGGCGAAGGTCAGGGACAGCAGCTCCAGCAGAATGACAGCTGCGGTAACGGCGAAGATAGTGACCCAATTCTCGTAAACGATCTCAATCAATTTGTCCACGCAGCCCTGTAACAGACAACCAGAAATTCTCCATTAATCGTTTTGTATATATAGAAAAGTGAGTTCAGTTTTCATTCAGTTTGTTTACAGCACGCATTCTCCGGATCTACTCTTACAAACACCATATCCAGGCTGGCAGACAGAAGTTTGAAATGCGTGCTGAATATCAATATTAATTAATACATTTTTATCGTCTCTGCATTGGCGGGCGTGAATTTTTATTAACCCAAGCGCTGAGAGCTTGCAGACGCGCAGAAAAAGGATTATTAATTTTTATGGCCAGGCCGGCGATAGCGATCGGTCGGCCAAGAAATTACGATTCGGGCACACCTATCAATTGAGTTTTGATGGTTTTTCGGTAATTCATTGAATCGAAGAACGAGCGTTGAATGAATGGTCAATAAAGTGGATTTTACAAAGAAAGAAACTAAACATTTTGGTGAGTCAGTAAGCGGAATCATTTTAATCTTCGCAATGAAATGTTTATTTCCTTTCACTTGCAATATTTATGTTTAGCTCTGGGGAAATTGAGATGACTCTATCAGTAATGGATAAGCAAACAAAGTAGTGTTTGAAGAAGAATGAAATTGCAAGAAATTTTAAATATTTATAAGATATTTGAGACGTTATTTAGTAAACTAAGGAAAAACTACTTATAAGGACTCAAAATATCCTCTTCATTACCTGCTGATAGATAGCATTGTTTAAGGGGCCACCGAATTTCAGCCTTCGTGACAACTCGCATTCGTTATCCTTTAGATTATCCTTGCAACAGGACTCGGGTATGTTATAGAAGACATTCATGGAAGACACAGCGATCTCTACAATATTTGTGCGATCTACATTATTAAAACGACTTGTGGCCCAATCTCCAGGTCCATCGGCACCGCAGCATTTCAACTGAAAAACGGATAAATAAATTCATAAGAATTGATTTCCCAGGGAGTTCAAAAAAAGTCCAAATATTTACATTCTTTTGCAGAGCATCGTAGGTGACGGTGCGTGAACTCATTGTTGACTGACCATACTCCTCCTGAACCGACGACTTTACTGCCGCCCGCACGATGTCGTCCAGCTTGTCTTTGTTGTGGAAGGCCCAGGCTCCGGCTGCAATCTGTGCCACCATCACGATGAGTATAACACAGAAAAACTGCAAGAGAATTTCAAATTTATGAATGGAGTGCGACAGGCCCGTGGGCGTTCAGAAAATCAACTCGCTGCGATTTAAGAAAGATATCTTTGCACTGAGAATAAAGATCTTCAAAAAGTCTGGATTTACTTTTTAAATATGTATATAAATTAGACCAAAAGTCTGAGCATATCAAAATTACATATTTGATTTTAATTGTCGATCAACACAATGTATACTTTTATAACATAGTTTGGTTAATATTTTTTTTTTGTTATTTTTGACAAGTGCAGCATTTTGCCAAATTGCCAAGACATTGTGGGCGAAGCTCCGTTGCAATTATACGAGCGGAAAAGTGTAGGCCACACATTTGCATTCAATTTAATTGGAATTCCCAGACATTGGTACTATGGTACTTAACTGCACTTTTTTCACTTACCGAAACCAGCAGACATTGCGACTCTCGACAAACCCCGCAACAGCCAAAGAATGCGCCCAATGTGATCAATATGCCGATGGCAAGGAAAACGTAGAGGGCTATATGGTAATGATTGTAGGATTGTGTCATCGACAGTATGAATGTAGGATCTGTCAGCATCCAAACGGAGGTGATCACGATGGTCAGGCCAATGAGCTGTAAGCAGAAAAGAGAGATCTTTGTTAGATTTTTTTTTTATTTTTACAAAATTTTCTTTGTAATTTTCTAATAGTTGCATTCAACACACTCACACACACTGGGAACACGCGTCAATGACGCCATCTGGCGAGGAGGCAATTAAAGTGGGAGACTGCCCCGCCCCAGTTTTCCCTTCCGCTTAACTTTTATAGTTTTCAACATATGATGTCAGCTGAGTTGGAAGCGTCAAATTATATTTGGCACTTGCTGTTTGGCTTCTTTTAATTTAATTACTGTAGGTCGGTTAACTGTGCCATATAATAAACATGTTAATCAATTTTATAAGAATCTATTATTCGTTTTAGGCTATTAAAACTTGAAACTTTTAAAAACTCATAAAAAGCGGACCATTAAATTCAAAAATTAATGATGCGGTAATGGGAAATTAACTTGCTTGTTAAAACTTTGCCAAGAACTACTGTATTAACTTAATATATATTCAAGTAGCAAGGCGTTGATCTCCCTTTCTTATCTCACTTCTCGGGTTATCAGAATAGGAACTTTTGTGTTCCTACTATATTGTATTCTCCTTTAAGTTTGCTGTTCAGAAAGTAAAGCACTTAACTCGCCTTTGCAAATCTTTGCAAAATGTTATATTTAAATTTCTGTCCATGCAATGAGTGAGAAAATCTAATAATGCGCTAATGACTTAATAGGTTGGGCCCTCTGGCACTCGCTAAGCAAGTTCATTAATTATTCAGCAAAATTATTCATCGCAGGGAAATTGAGTGTGCGATGAGAACTAATCAAGAGGTGTAAACAAGTACGCATATTATATGGGAAAATATTTAAAAGCCTAAGGCAAACTGGGAAGCATTTCGAAATAAATAATGTTTCTTCTCTGCTCAGCTTTTGCAATGGCCAAGAAAACTGGAGCAGTTCGGGCATCTCTTCTGGGCTTCTTGATAAGATTACGCGTTACCAAATATCTATGTAACTAACTAATTAAAAACTGTTTTTTAATGTCAGAGTAATAGCAGAAAGATAAGCAGAAAATGTTTGGAAATTTTTGTAAATTTACCTTATAAACAAGATATACTTTATAAAACAAGTTAAAGAGTTACCTCAAGCCTTTTGGCGCCCTAGCCCAAAAAATTACAGCTCCCCAGAGAAATATAACTAAAAAGTAGGAAAGAGAAGACAAAGGCCACAACAAAGAGTGCCGGAAAATTCATGAAAATTGTATGAAATATAAGAGAGTAGAGACCGGCTTTTATGCGGGTGGTCCACGAAAGAGTGAGCTGTGGAAAAACGAGCGAGACAAAAAGTGTGCCACACAAAGTGCACGATATAGTGGCCCAAAAGTTCTTCGCTGTAAATGTGTGCAGCTCACGGAATAACTGCTTATGGAAACGTAATACAATGTTGCCCCATACGAGGGCAGTTTATTGAGTAATACTAAAATGACAAGCTACATACTTTATAACCAGAGGAGCATGGTTACATAAAAGTCATTTATATTTCAGAGGAAAAAGTCTTTTATATACATAGATTATATCAACATAGAATTCGTTTTTTTGTAGACTATATTAAAAGTAATACAATTTCTAAAATGAATAATAACCAAAGTAAAGATTCTAACGATAACTTTCAGATCACTAAAAAGTTGTTATAAGAATCTGAAAAGGGTTGAACAGCCAGATGGCTGTCAGTTATTCAGTAAAACCTAAAATCTTTGACTTTTAAAGAACAAAAGTTGACCCCGTTTCGAATCAGTTCCATTTTCACCATCCACGCCTTGTTTGTCGCTATGTTTGTTGGAATTTTACGATTCCCCATACGATTTCATATATATGACACTCTGACACTATGTCGCGTGTCCATGACAAACAAACAGAAGTTCTGCCGAATGGGCCAATAAATGTGCAGGGTCCTTCGTTGACCCACTTTTCAGTGCCGAGGCGTTGAAAGCAGAAAACGAGAGAGCATTTTCCTGCTCCCAAATGGCTAAAAAATATAAGGGCACTAGTGTGTAAAAAGCAGCTGGCGTTGCCATGCATGTCCAGTCGCAGTTTTGTCCCACAATTAACCGCATCGATGGCAAATTGCAGCCATAACCCATCATGCAACTTACTCACAAGCTGAAAATACAAACTGAATATGAAAAATGAATGAAGCGCCACTCATGAATAATTGAGTGAAAAATAGCACTGCGAATTATGCATGTAGATATGACATGTGTCAGCTTGGTTTGGATAGATGCTGGCCAACTTCTCTTGACTTAAAGGAAAATTTTTGTGTATTTTTTTAATATTAAGAATGACATTTAGTTTGACTATAACAAATATATTTAAAATTTCATTTTTAAATAGTAATAACTTAGTTAATTTTGCCATTCTTGAATATTAACTAAACTAAATAATTACAAGGCTTTTGGAAGTCCATCTAAATTTAGTCATTTTTGTGGGAGGACAGGATAGGTTTGTCAGATGGCCAGGCCAACGGAAAAAATTGTCAGTTTTGGTCACTGTCAACTTCAATGACGACAGCGCCGACCGTTTAGCATTTTTTCGACGCTTTTGGCATAGGCCTCCCCCGGCAACTTGGATCTGGGATATCATCGGCCCCATTGGAACGTCAGCGTACTCAGAGATCGTGGCGTTTGATCACGATGCCCCACGGCGACGATGAAAATGGAAATGTTTTGAAACCTATGCACAGTGTAGTGATATATTAAATCTGTACAGTGGTCATCAATGTTCAGAAGGATTAACAATTCCAATGATATTTAAACCAAACATATGTAGCAGAAAGAGAACAATTAATTATTTTTTGTGCTAAAAATATCATGAAAACAATGTATTATAAGTCTTCAAACCTCAATATAAATACATACATATCTGACGCATTTTCATCCATACATTGCTCTAAAAATAGTTCAACCGATTAGAGAAAAGAACTGCATCACAAACACATCACAATTTCCATCATTTATTGTTGCCCCATAAACATCAAACACATACCACTGTGCAAAACACAACAACAACGATGAATACTAAAACATCACAGATCAAAGAAAATTACACTGAAAAATATGTCAAATTTACAAATATATTTTCTTTGTTCTTACTTTGTCAATTTTAAAAATATCTTCTAATATTATACTAAACAATCTTATTGTTTTTATTTATATTTTTTTGTTATATACTGTTTATATCAATTTCTTTCAGTGTACTACAACGAAAAACTGAACGGACGCGTTAGTTTTTGTTGTTCTTCGCCCGTATTCGAAAATAGCTTTTGACTAATAAATACTATAGGCAGAAATCGAAAAAAGGCAGCAACAATCAACAAACCAACTGAAAACCAAAAAAAAAAATATTGAAAACAACCCGCATAAGCATCAAAATTTTAAATTTGTTGCCCAAAGGAAAAAAACGATACTGATTTCGCAAGCCGCGAGAGACAAGAGGAAAACCCAAGAAAAACTCGAGGAAAACAAAAACAAACACAAACAATCGCAGCGGCAGATAGTAATTGAATGGAAACAATTGAAAGCCAAGCGAGTCGATGTTGAAAGTCGAAAATTGCGTAAAACAACAAGCAGATAAGATGGCCAACGGAAATGAAATCCTTTTTTTATGCCGAATCAATCCAACCGAAGTTTGTAAAAATATCAAACGCACGTTTACGTATAAAAATAATAATAAAAAAAGAAGCAGAAAAAGGCAGAAGCTAAAGAAAAACAACTGAACAAACATGTGGAGAGAAAAAAAACAGTGGGTGGAGTGGAAGAGGGGGAGGAAGATGCTTAAATGTTTATCTGTGTGTGGAGGTGCGCGTATGTCTGTATGTTTGTGTTACTTGCTCTCCTCCCACAACGGAGCTTCTATTGTTTTTGTGGGGGAGTAGGGAGCGCAGAGCCCTACTCAGTGATAGGGAAAGAGTGAGGAACACGAAATGGTGGGGAAAGCAGTGATGTCGCTTTGGACTTTTACAGGCAAGATTATGGTATCAGTAGTAAAAACTTCAGAGCATTCCTTAGTAAATTGTTCCTCTCTTATCCTTATCATTTAAGTTGGCACGTAAAGATCCATTTTTTACAAATTTTGTAGATGTTTTATTTAAAATTTTAATAAATATTTCAACTTTTTATTTTTTCAAAAAATTTGAAAAGTTGATTTCAAAAATATTTAATATTGCATTTCTTTGCCCCCAACTTCCAACATATTTTGATTTTAACTCATGTTTTAGGCACCTCCAAAAGCAAAGAGAGGCACTGGGATAGAGAGAGATGTGTAGGACTCGAAAGAGCGTGCGCGCGACCCCTCCCCCCGCCCACATAACAAACGACTGAAAGAGGGGCGTAGGGAATACACAACACACACACACGAGCGAGAAGGAGGTCCGTGTGTTCCAGTTGTTGTTGTGATGGGAGAGAATCGAATCTCGCATTGTTGTTGTTGCTACTGGAATCAGAATCTACATACCCAGAATAAGATGTTTATAAGGACCATCAGATATTTGACGCACGAACAGCAGCCGTTGAGACCCATGGCGGATTAAATTGTTTCAACGAATAACTCCTTTAAAAGTGGATTTGATTTAACTGGTTTTTCAACCACTTTAGATGCTCTTTTTCAAAGGAACCCCGAACTGCAGTCTCGACTGCACTTTTCCGCCTTTGCACACTTATTTGGAAACACTCGATTGTCGCACTATATTTTTCGATTTTTTTTTTTTTAATTTTACAGGACAAAAACTCGCTGATTTAAGCCACTGATTGCGCGATTGGCCGTTGCACCCGATTTATTTAAAAATTTTATTTGTGCATCGAAGCGTCCGTCCAACGTAAAATTCTTGAATCAGTGCGACCGTTAACTGGGCCGTTCAAATATACCAACGCGGTGTAGAGAGGCTATATACTAAAATGTAGTACACCCTAAAACTACCACAAAAATATTGGGTGCATAACTTTGATAAGGTGTTACTATGTTTCATACCTTACTTAAGTTCTAGCCTATGCTGATACCAATATTGCTTATCGATAGCTGATTTGGTTATATTCTGCATTGTTTCAAAAAACTTTAAAGACAAAGTTACAAAAAAACAATCCTAAGACATGGAATTAAAAAATGAATATTTCAAAGCCCAGATGAATATAAATAACATTTTAAATAAATAGTAATAATGTTACCGTAATATACCCGCAGTATATCCCCGCAACCGCATAACGGTCACACTGTTCGCGCAGGCGAAAATCGCCTAAAGCGTCAAATGTTTAATTCGTTGTTGTTTCTCCTCCGGAATAGTTACTAATAGCAATAAATGCAAAATGGCTGTCTAACATTGAAGAGCAGCGACCGCCGAAAATCGTGGAAATGTGCATGAAAAGCGGCTCGCAGGGCAAATGAAAGGCGCGTGAAAATGTAGCAGTCACCTTTTTAATCGCGAATACGAATATCGGTGCAAAGGGAAAAAACAAAAACCAAGGAAAATACATCCAAACGCGAATGTGAATGTAAAGGCAAAGTAAGCGAAAAAGTCCCCCAACTTTTTTTGATTTTGGGAGGTATCGAGTGCACTAAATATGTTTAACAGTAGTTCGATTGCATTGATGTAATTAAAGACAAGTATTTTTCCCCTTTTGGCTGTTGTTTTTATTATTATAGTTCTTGTTGTTGTTGTTCGGTGCAAGTTGGTGTGAGTGTCTTGTAATTTCGTTACGCAGTGGAGCGAAGTTGGAGTTTTGTGGAATGGAAATGGAATGAAATGAAGTGGAGTGTAACCAAACACGAAACGGAAAAACTTGGAGATAAAACCTTAAAGCGCAAGCTAAGCTTTGGTCGCAACATAAAAATTTCTCAAGCGCTGCAAGCCAGACTTTGCCAAATGCCCCAGCCCCTCCCCCTTTTTGCATAATATAAAAGAAAAACTTTGCGCCCACTTTACGCACTTGTTTTTATGCTTTCCGCGTTCAGTGCACTTCAAGTTTTAATTGGTATCTGTGGTCATGATGTTTGTATGGATCACATTATATTTTAAATATGAGTAGATATGGGATTTTTATTATTATTAATTGTGTTTTTATTTTACTAAGGAAATCAAGTACCTCTTTCCTTTATTTAAATTATTCTTGAATAATATTTGTTGTCATTTTAGTTAATATAAAAAATATACATTAAAATATTTATCATTCAAATTACAAAGATATTAGTAAACAAATTAACAGCCATTTCAAAAAGTGTCTAATTGAAAATGTATTTAAAAGGTAGAAAACAATAGAATTCAATTAAGATCTGATACACAGAAAACAATCTTTTGGAAGCAATGAATGATATAAATTACTTTGCGTTAAAAAGTTACTTGGAAGAGTTCAAAGTAAAGCTGGTTTTTGGGTGAAAAGTCCACTATTTTTCTACGTACCTCTTAGTAGCCCCCTTGAGAAATCCCCCTTTGCCGCCCCGGCCTTTCTCTGTATCTTGGCAAATTTCACTTTCACATTCGTCGTGGGCAGTTACAGCAAAGCCAATTGCTTCGTACTTCTTTTATTTTTATTTTTGTTCCACACTTTGGGGCGTTTCAAATTAGAAAGTGTTTGCCTGTGTGTGTATTTGTGTGCGAGTGTATGTTTGCGATGTGAGCGGCATTTTCTCAATGAGTTTGGCTAATTATGTAGCTCATGTTCGTTCGGTAACCGCTTTAAACTTTGAAAATTCTCCGCAAATTGTGTCAACTTTGGAGAGCGTAACTTTACACCCGCCACATAATTTAATTCTAATTAGCGCTCGTTAACAAATTCCACCACCCGCTCCTCTATATGCTACCGCCCCCTTGGTATTGCACTGTGTGGGAAACTTAATTTGTTGCATCCAGAAGAGGGAGATAGAAAGATTGAAAGACGGGAAAAAAGGGGGAACAGCACACCAACACAATGACAGAATAAAAAGTACACACATGTAAATACAGTAGGGGGGATATTATTAGTAGCTTTTCTATTCTTATTTATCTTATAGTAAATCAGTAAAATTTATTTAATTAAATCAGTAAATTGTTTTTCTTTGTTTTGATTTCATGAAACCAGTTTTCAAATAAACGAAATTAAATGTATATTTTAGCACAAACCAGTTTTAATTAACCTGCTAAAGTACTTAAACCTTCTAGATGATAACATTTTAAAGATTTTTTATTGAAAAAGTAAACACAATATTTTGTCACCCGTTGCATATATTTTTCAATAATTTGCATTCCATACACAAGCACAGTCTCTAATACACATGCACTTGTATTTGCCAACAGACAACATAAATTAGTGCGAGCAACGGCACTTGGCAACAACAACAGCAACAACAACAACAATGACAATAACAGCAACACCGGCCAAGGAAGTTGGCAACTGCCTCACTTTGTCTCTCTTCATGTCATTAGCAACTGTCTCCTTCTGTCTCTCTATTGTCATTAGCGAGTTAGCAGAGCGCCGCTCTAATAACAGCGCCTTAACATTTCCATTTTCATTTCCCAAGTGCAACAACCCTGCGTGGGTGTGTGTGAAATAGTATAGAATTTGTGGCAATAACAATGGAAACTGGCATTATGGAAAACTGGGTAACGCTTTTATAATTTATTCCAATTTTAACTGCTTTTTACGGCCTTCTTCTTGTCGGTTAATTGTTGTTATTGCTGCATGTAAGTCCCATGCGGACAATCTGTTATTTTCACACACCGGTCTTTGTTTCTGTTGTTGTTTTATTTACCTACACTGAAAGAAACAAGATGTTCTTAATCAAAATTTATGCACATCTTTAAAAATAGTTGAACTTTATTTCAGTCAGTTTAATTTTAATTTATTGCAAATATTGGTTCTACATAAAAAAGTCTTAAAAAATATGCTATGTTTTTCAAATTTTTTCTCTGTGTCATTTCTCGATGTTAGAGAAGGAAAGGTGGTTTTGTGGCTGTAAATAAGAAATGAGGCAAATAAAATATAATTTCTATATATAGACGGTCTATACGTTTGTTTATATGATATGCGATGCATGTCTGGATGCATTTCACTGCTCCCTCTAATTTTAAAAATGTAAAGGTAAACATTCTCCCAGAACCCTCAAAACTTTAATATTTTCTGTGAATCCTAAAGTTTATGATACAAGCGTATACGACTAAACAAATAATAGTTTGATATTCTCTACTCACTGTAACCTTGGAATTGGAGGGTCAGTAACACGTTTATAAACTTTTGCTGCATATTATATTCTATTACATATATTCAACTATATTCTTCATAATGCAACATTTGTGCTACCTATAAATAGTATCTAAAGATATGAGACAGTATATGTATATACTACTTAAAGTTGATAACCTCCTTTTCAAATTCCAGCTTTTTAAATTCGTATCTTTTGGGGTTTGAAATGATTTCAGTTTTTCGTGGGCTCTTCGGTTTTTATTTAGTTTTCTTTTCGTGTAGGTAGCGTTCTTATTATTTTCATTGCCTAATTCGTGAAGTGCGTGAAAGTTGACCCCAAGGTTTCCGCGACGACTTTAGGTGACATCGTGGAAATTAAACCTTGGGAGTGTGTGCTCCGAAAAACCTAATCGCAGCTGTCCAAATAACCTCAAAAAAACAAACAGATTCACAGGGGTTATTAGTGATAAGGTCAGCAAATATAAAAGTTATCGCTAAATCAATAAACCAAACCCAAATTTTATTTTTCATTCCTGTTTAGATTGAAGCGGTGCAGCCGACATAAAAAAGCGATAAACCCCAGAGCAGGTCGACCGATAAGCGGAGAAGTTAGACAACTGGCGGCTGAAAGTGATATCTGCTGAAACTATATCTGGGAGATAGAAGGCGCATCCGGAGGATCCGGAGCGAGCATGTCGCACGGTGGAGCCGGTGGTGGTCTGGGAGCTCAAACTGTTGGAGCCGGCCAACTTGGAGGCGCTGCAGCGGCAGCTGGCGGTGGAGAATACCGCGAAATCCACTGGACAGTCTCGAGTGTAATGGACTCGTCTCGGGTCTCCACCTGCCTTATATCGATGCTGCTGATCGTCTACGGTAGCTTCCGGTCATTGAATATCGAGCAGGAGGCCCGCGAGCGTGAGCAAAAGAAGCGAAATGAATCGATGACCAATCTCCTAACCGGCGAACCCGTCGAGAAGGAACCAAGTATGTGTGAAATTTACACTAAGTGCATAAGGAATGTTTTATAAGTTTCAGATCTGTATTTCACAGCGGATAAATTCGCCACTCTGGACACGATGCATGCTCTGTGTTTGCCCCTTGGAGCTTCCATCTCACTGCTCATCATGTTCTTCTTTTTCGACTCGATGCAGCTGCTCTTCGCCGTCTGCACAGCAAGTATGTATTATCAAAACGAATCTATATTCGTTTTATATTTCCATTAAAATTGAACTTTATTTCTAAATAAAATCTGTTCTTATAGTTATTGCTACCGTGGCGTTGGCCTTCCTGCTCCTGCCCATGTGCCAGTACATCATTAGGCCATGCACGGATGGAAAGCGATTCTCTTTCGGAATCTGTGGGCGCTTCACGGCGGCGGAGCTCTTTAGCTTTACGCTTTCAGTGTCGATCGTGTGCATCTGGGTGCTCACTGGACACTGGCTTCTGATGGATGGTAAGAATCTCTATGATAAAACTTCAAAGAGTCTCCTTTAAGATAGATCTCATTTCTCCAGCAATGGGTATGGGCCTGTGTGTTGCGTTCATTGCATTTGTCCGACTGCCCAGCTTGAAGGTGTCCACGCTGCTGTTGACCGGCCTGCTCATCTATGACGTCTTCTGGGTATTCCTCTCGTCGTACATCTTTAACACGAATGTGATGGTCAAGGTGGCCACGCGACCCGCCGATAATCCAGTAGGCATCGTGGCCAGAAAGTTGCATCTGGGTGGGATTGTGCGGGACACACCAAAGCTGAATCTGCCTGGCAAGCTTGTTTTCCCCAGCCTCCATAATACGGGCCATTTTTCCATGTTAGGTCTGGGGGATGTGGTAATGCCGGGATTGTTGCTGTGCTTTGTCTTGCGATATGATGCGTATAAAAAGGCGCAGGGCATCACATCGGATCCCACATTGTCGCCGCCCAGGGGAGTTGGTTCCCGGCTGACATACTTTCATTGTTCCTTACTGGGGTAAGTCCTTAAATAAATACGAAGAGGAAAAGTTAGAAGATTTTCAGTTACATTTTGCTAAATTCTTACTAATGGTTTGTTCTAACGATATGAAAAAACAATACAAAATTGTAAAGACAAAAACACTTTACTTACATGTTCTATTTATTTCAGTTATTTTTTGGGCTTGCTAACGGCGACGGTTAGCTCCGAAGTCTTTAAAGCAGCTCAACCGGCGCTGCTGTATCTGGTGCCCTTTACGTTATTGCCGCTCCTGCTGATGGCCTATCTGAAGGTACTGTCAACATCTTAATAATCCCAATTCTATATCTATAATGTCCAATCCTCGTTTCTTGCAGGGCGACCTGCGGCGCATGTGGAGTGAGCCGTTTATCGCGCAACAACCATCAAAACAACTTGAAGTCTGAGTGTACTCTATCTAAAAGCAAAGAAAAACAAAAACAAACAGCGTGAAGAACACACATAAAATCTAATACTAACGTTTGTCTCTTAAATAACGTATTGAGTATGTATTTTTTAACTCAACTTAACTAAGTTTCGTTTTAAGTTAGGTGATCCTCGTTTTCATAGTGAAATAAAAGCAAAAACCAAGTAATTATAGTTTATAGCGTAAGCGGAAAGGTTTTATATATTCACATATATATATACATCATAAGAAAGTTCATTCAAATTGGCTTTAAAGTCTCCAATTATGCAGATAATTAGCGAGTAGAACAAAGATCAAGCGACATATTAGTTACAGTTCATAGGCATTACTAAATATCTGAAAAAACGATTAACCGATAGTGAAAAGACTAGAAAGAAGACCGTTTGAGATTCGAATTTCAACCACACATCAACTCGAAATCTGTTCCGGGCAGTATGTTCTGTAAATACTTAAGTTAGCGTATGCATAACTATGGATATGTACGTATATGTATTGATAACAAACCACCATGCAACAAATAATAGTTAGTAAGCTCGCCTTCATACACATTTATTCGCGATCCGTTTCCGTTTCACACGCCCATTTCCGTCCTTCGATTTCCTCCCGTCTTTTAACTAAATTTCATCCCATCTCACATAAATATTCACAACCATTATAATGTTTCGCCAAAATGCATGTGTTCGTTGCCAACAATAAATAAAAGCTAGACAACAACTGTTGCACTGCGTGTGTTTCACAAAAATTAAGTTTCAAAAATTTTAATTATTTACTTTTAATGCAGCTAACAATAAATAATTACTGTATGCATATGGAAACGATAGTTACATATTAATTTTAAGTAAATGCAATTTCGAAACGTATAGAAACAATAAAAATGTGAGATTTAAACAAATGAATTGGTCACTTTTCTTAAACTACTTTTTATTGATGTTAGTAAAGGAAGGAGTCAACGAAATAAATTTAAATTTGAATTTGAATTTACGGATATCGGTTATTTTTAAAGTAGTCTAGACTCGCACCAACAGCAGTATCAAAGTTATAAACCTTTTGATATTACCGTTTCCTAACACAATGCGGTCATACTCCAACGGTTAACAGTTATTGAGTACACGAACCGCACTTAGCGTAGATAGTATCTACTAGATACCCTTTATAATGGATTTCAGTGTTACCGCATTGTAAAAAACCTGTATTTTTTAAGGAATTTCTTAAGTGGTCGAGAGTATTTAATGTATATTTCCGTGTGGTATCACCAATAAATGAAGTGAAGCGCACGCAGCAACAAAAACAAAAAGATTGCTACGATCAAAATAAGTTACCTGTGATCAAAACTAAAAAACAAACCCTGTGTATGTTCTCTTTCTTTTTTAATTAACTTGCCATTTCCCTTTGCCTGTAACAACAAATAAAACGACGCAAAAGAATATTTTGGGCCAATGTGCCAGAGTGTGTGTGTGTGAGCGAGATAACAAGCAATTTGTGCTGAAAAATAAAAGTTAAAAAAGATGCCGTGTATTTAGATAATAGTTAAAGCCGCAAAGTAAGTTATTTTAATGCATTTAATGTTGAGTTTAGATATCATAGGCTGTGACACTATAAGCATTTTTCACGCGCATATTGCAATGTGACGTAGGCGTGGAAATTCCTGTGGGAAATTTTTCACTACCGCGCAGTTGTGTGGGTGTGTTGTATTTGTGTATGTGGGAGTGTGTGTGTAGGCTACGCCGCAAGTTTGTTTTCGTTTGTTTTTAATTGCCGAGAAAAAGGATTAAATTGTGGCTCGGAAAATGCGCGTTACTTAATGTAATGTGCAAACATGCGTAAATGTTCATTACATAAATGCAAATGAATATATGTACAGACATACATATACGCTTATGTTTTTGCGTCTGGGCAATGTTCATTATATACGTACAGCGCAATATTTGTGGTTTTTATAAAAAAAAAAAACAAATGAATTAAACAATTAAACTGTTAAATACTGTTCCTAAAAAAAATTATAAGCAAAAAAAAATATACATATATATTTGTAATAAATATACGTATATTTTGTAATAAAACATGTTTTCGCAGTTTATCATTTTATTTTTGTATAATTGAGAACAAAATATTTACATATTTTTTGTTGTTAAACTAGACAACTATGAAATATTTAAAATAATTGTGAAATTAATGATATAAACACATTCCCCACAAGTCTTTATTTACTGGCACTATAATCTTATCAATGAGTTAATAACTAAAATTCCCCCAATTCGTTAAAACTTAAATCCTTTGAGTCGGAAGTTAATGAGATAGCCATTACTAATCGGTTTTTAATTAAAAAACACTCATTCCAAATGAAAACAGAATGACTAAAAATTATCTTTGGGATTTTTGGGATATACGTATTAGTTTTAAAAATATTATGGTTGTATTCTTGCGTAGTAGAAAAAATACTTCATAAATGATAATATTAATTAAAAACGGAAACATCTCCATTTACATTACTCCTTTTGTTCATAGAGATATCTCAGCAATATTCATTTTCAAACACCCCTGACCAAAGTTATTGTTTTAAGAGATGGTGAAAGGAGATATTTAGCCTGCTTTTGATTTCGAAGAACCTCGAATGACTAAGCCACAACAGTTTTGTTTTCGTCACCATTTCAGCTCTTTTGAAACCGACTCCAGCTGGGTAATTCGTGTGGCAAACTGATCCCGAACCAGCAGAGGCAGCTGGGAGAGCAGGAGCAGGAGCTGAGAGATTGGCAACCACCTGGCCAAATGGGTGGCAACACTACAGGTGCCAATTCGAGCGCCTTTAGCGCAGGCGGATACATTGGGCCCACATCGGCCAGTAGTCATCACAGTCTGGGAACTTCATCTGCTGAGGCAGCGGCTGCGATTGCCGGCGGAAGTGACCTGATACCGGCACCAATTGGCACGGGGAACGCTATGGGAGTGTCGCCCTATGCCTATGGTGGCACCAGTTGGGAGGAATTCTGCGAACGTCACGCCAGAGTGGCTGCTTTGGATTTCGCCAAGGCCTGCATTACATACATCAATGGAAATCTGCCGCCGGAGGAGGCAAGGAACATCCAACACCGCAGCTTTGCCCAGAAATTCGTTGAATACTTTTCGGCGCACTATGACACAGAGTTCTTCAAACGGAGAAGCACTCTGAAATCGGGCGTGGGATCACTGGACTTCGAGGAGGAGCACGAGGGACCGCGACTGCTTTCAAAGTCTTTGTTAAGACGACTTTCATTCAAGGGACTCCGCAAGGGAAAGGTGAGTTGGGATGAGTTTGGGTGATCTTTTCTCAAGAGCCAGGCGATACTCTGTTGTGTGTTGTAAGAACAACTAGTATTCATAACCATAAATGTTTTAAGTTATGAAAAAAGGAGATTTCGTTGAATCTTTAAATTTAAGAGTAAAGAACCATTTAGATTTTATCTTGCCAACTTAATATTTAATTTTTCCTATTGATATCTCAATAATATTGTTTTTGTCTGATTAAATATATTATCAAACTCACCTGTAGAATGTCGGTCTGATAGCTATTACGAATTATAAGTGTGCAGATAAGAGCATTGACTTTTGCATTCTGTGCAGTTTTCCGATAAGTATTTACTGAAGAATTTATATGATACGTGATTAATAATGCATAATTCAATAATCTGGAATTTAACACTTTTAGATGACTTGAGGGATTCCGAAAACTATAAATTTATGTTTTGAATATCAGGATGTTTGATAGTCGGAAGTTCCGGCTATATTGTTACCACTTGTTTTAACTGTCCAAGATCTCTCTGCTGCAGGCTTTTTTCCACAAAAACTCGGATGATGTGGACGGCAGCGGTGGCAGCGGCAAGCAGAGCAAGACGAAGCTGGCCAAGATCGTGGTGGAGTGCCGCAAGGAAGGCACCGTAAACAACCTGACGCCGGAAAGTCTCGACCAGCCGACAGGCTCGCAAAAATGGGAGAAGTGTCGATTGGTTTTAGTGAAAGCCGTGGGTGGCTACATGCTTGAGTTTTATACACCCCACAAGGCGACAAAGCCGCGGAGTGGAGTCTTCTGTTTCCTTATCTCCGAGGCACGTGAAACGACGGCACTGGAAATGCCGGACAGGCTGAATACGTTCGTCCTGAAGGCGGACAACAACATGGAATACGTGATCGAGGCGGAAAGTGCAGAGGAGATGCGCAGTTGGCTGGCCACAATACGCTACTGTATGCGAACGCCGCCCACTCAACAGCCGTTGATCGAATCGGATGGCGTAATGGCGTCCGCCATGCAAACATCGCCAACAAATCCAACTCCCAATCCCATAGGGGGCATTCAGAACCCCCAATACCAGCAGCAGGGTGGCTCCAATGGCAATCTGGTGGGTGGAGGAGCTCCGCTTGCCTCGTCCCTATCAGCAGATAGTGCTTTGGGTCAAGGAGGAGCCACATCTGCCAGCGAATTAAATGTCATCAACGAACTTGGCACCACACCGCCATCTGGTCCACCAGATATACCTATAAGACCTCATCGAGGTGAACAGCGTCTGTCTGCCTCCAGCAACTTCGATGGCATCGAGGGCACTGAAAATGATGCAGATGTTGCGGATTTGACGGCTGAGATGAGCGTGTTTCCCTGGTTCCATGGCACACTAACGCGATCGGAAGCGGCTCGTATGGTTCTCCACTCAGATGCAGCTGGTCATGGATACTTTTTGGTACGACAGAGCGAAACGCGTCGAGGAGAATTTGTCCTGACCTTCAACTTCCTGGGACGCGCCAAGCATCTGCGGCTCACAATCTCGGAGAAGGGTCAGTGCCGAGTGCAACACCTGTGGTTCCCCTCAATCCAGGAAATGCTCGAACATTTCCGTCACAATCCGATACCATTGGAATCGGGCGGCACTTCGGATGTAACCCTTACCGAATGGGTGCACTCACACAGCAGACTGAATGATCCAACGGCGGCAGCTACTCATGACTCAGGACAACTAAACAATCTGTCGGCGAATGGTAATGGAAATGGCAACGGGAATGGAAATGGTTACGATAATGGCCAGGGATCATCATCAACATCAAATGCGGCTGGAGGAAGTGCATCGGGAGCTGCTGGCGGTGGCCATCCGTCGCCGAGACATGTGAGATAGCCAAAATTTTGGAGTCAATTCAGTGTCAGTGATGGTTTTTTATTTTACTTTGATTTCTATTAAGTTTTTATCATTTCATTGCGACTGGGATGGGGTTTGAACTGTGAACTGATGAAAGTATAGCCTTAATGTTCTATTAAATGCAAAACAAAAAATAATATTGACTTCAACCAGAAAACGGTATTCGATTAAAATTGATAAGTTTTTATTTCAAAATATAATAAAGTTCCTTTTAAACTATTATAATAAATAATACACTTAAAGATCAATTTGTGACTTACAAATTAAAAACAAAGTCAATTTTGTAATGTTTTTAAATTTCTATTAAATTCTTAGATCAATTACTGTTAGTTTCTGTTTATTTTAAATGATTTTATTGTCGCATGCTTCATGTTTCACCACACACCCCCAGACCACTTTGAAATTTTATTGGACTAATTAAATCTTATTTAATCTGATTGATCAACAGTGTAACGAAGTGATTACCATGAATCTGAGTGTTCGCCTAAAGACAAATGAAATCGAACTGCCACAGGAGCCAACACACGTCTATTTTCCGGAGCAAGTCTATTTCCATTTGGATCCCACAACGCTAACAGTGCACGGATCACCGCCAGCGGCCCAGAATTTTCTGGACCAGCCACATCTGCGGGCCTCGAACGCCTCCCTTCAGGCCGCTGCCCATCATCCGACGGGATCTTCCAGCAATCGGCATCCCAGCGATGGTGGCAATAATAGTGGTGGAACAGGAGGTGGATCGGGATCCAGTGGGGGAGCCGAATGCACGGGACGGGCCGTCGATAATCAGTACAGCTTCACCTAAGTCCGCTCATCGATCCTCATCTGCATTTCGTGACTTTCCCAGCGGAACTTTACTTTTGTGCCATTTTTTAAAATCATTTTCCTGAAGGAGAGACAAATTTGTGTTTTTTCGCATCAATCAGCTTTCTTTGCTTTATTGATTCACTTGTTTCTATTTAAGTTAGTACCTTTTTTGGAAGACATGAAGTAACTGAATATTATTATGTATACATTATATAGCTAAATGTGTGTGTTCATTTTAAGAAAATCAATGTTGTATGTATAGAAAAGAAAAACCTAAAAAAAAAGAAAACGCAAAAGAAAATTGTACGATTTTTGTGGGCACCAAAGGTGCGACTCATGCGAATCCTAAAACTTCCTGCTTTACAAAACAAAAAATACATACATATATACTATACTTATAAATATAAATTATATATACATAATTATATATTGAAATTGGTAAACTACAATAAATGAAGTTATGTAAAAGTAACAAAAAAGGTTGAGATACTTTATTTTGAAGTTTAGAAAGGAAACTGAGACCTTGGGCCCATAGTCTTGGCCATATGTTATCCTGAGGGCCATTGAGGTGATGATTGGGCCCGTGGAATTTTTCTTTCTTAAAAATTTAAGTTTCAATATTTTTGGCGCTTTTTTTTTAAATTATTTTAATTGCGTTTATACAGTCCGTCCCTTTTTACGAATATGAGTGTTTATTGCAAATAAAATAATTTTATACTTTCGAAAACCATTTTAAAAAGTACATTATTGTTTAAAGGGACCTTAACTTTTTATTTATTTTATTAATACTTGTGAGTAACTTTAATATCGCTTAATAAAAAATTATAATTTAATTTACTTCTTGGGTTTGAATCCTCGCTAGCAGATTGAAACAAGTTAGCAGCTCTCTGTTATCAGGTGTTTTGGTATTATATTAGCATAGAGCGGCGGTAACATTGCCATGCCGGCAGGACAAAAGTTGACAATTTGACGAAAAGCCTGAAACTCTTGAAGGACATGGAGCTGGAACTGGACGTGGTTGACTCCCTGCAAGCGCTGGCCTACAAAGGGCCCTGCCTGCAGCAGGATGACCTAAGTCGCGCCCTGGATTCTGGAATCGGAAATTCGGAATTGCGAGAAGTGATCTACTGGCTCGCTCACGAATTACACGTTCTGCGGAAAACCGATGAACGGGTGAGTTCCAGCCAAAAGGATAACGACGAGTTCGCCTTCGAGTTGTCCTTGTTGCTTACGGAATTGGGCTGCCCATACCGCCGGTTGGTACAGGGAGCCATGGATAAGCGTTTTAAGGACCGGGATGCACTGGTCCAACTTCTAGAGTACCTCACATCCGAACTGATGACCACCAAGATGGTCCTCAAGTCCCAGCCCGTCGGTCCGCCCTGTAAACGTTCAAAAACCGATTCTAATATCCAGCAGACTGTAGAAAAGTAAGTTATTGCTCATAATTAATCATTTCATGTTTAATTTAAAAATACTTCATAGTTTGGCTAAGGATCTTCAACTAGGCGAAATTCCGAAGAACATCAATACTAAACTGCTTTTTGAAAAGATAACACCCCGCTTGGACCAGGCTTTGAAGCAAACTAATCGCCAGGTGCTCAGCGAACCGCTACTGAAGCTTAAGAAACCCTTGAGTGATGCACAATGGCGTGTTTTGGAATCCCTGCATCGAGACTTGGAGGCGGAGTATAATCTTCGACGTCAGATGATGACCACCCGACTGGAGGCCACCGTGCAGAGCTTTCAGTGGTCTGAGTCTATGCGCCAACGCTCCAATGAGATTATGAACCGCTTCAATGACAAGATGAGAGAACTGGAGCAGTTCAGATTAGGCGGAGAACAGACAGACATGGTGGCCCTTCTGGCAGCTCGTTCGGATCTGGCTATAATCGAGAAGACAAGTTCAGCAAATGTGAGAAAGAATACGGCATCCAAAATTCAAAAACACGTGATGGGACGGGTTCCCGATCGTGGAGGCAGGGCCAATGAACATGCTCCTCCGCCACCAGAGATGCCTTCCTGGCAGCAGCAAAGGGCTAGTGGTCCTCCAGGTGGTGGACGTGGTGGAGGAGGTAATTTCAGAGGAGGAAGAGGAGGTGGTGGCGGCGGTGGAAGAGGTGGTGGACAGGGAGGCGGTGGAGGAGGAGGTGGCAACTGGCAGCAACCTCAACAGCAGCAGCAATATCAAAGCCAAAACCAACGAGATCATAGTCGCGAGAGAAATGATCAGCAATGGATCAGCGGCAGTGGACGTGTCCAGGGAACAGGATGGAATCCACAGGGTGGACGAGGAGGCGGTGGCGGTGGCGGCGGAGGCGGAGGCGGACGTGGCGGTGGAGGAGGTCGTGGCGGATACCGTGGCGGATATCGATGATCCCTGGCTCCTGCAGTGCTCCCTATACCCGAAACGACTGATCCTTCTATAACCCATTAACATTACTTTCCTTAGCTGCACGCATAACCCAGTTTTATTTATTGCGAAATCGAATGAATTTGTTTATAATTGCAAATGGACAGCCATTTATAAAATAAACTATATATGTCATCTATTTGCCAGCAAATCTCGCGTGTCGATTGAGCATTTTGGAATCTGGGTTAGATTTTTCACTTTCAATGCGTTCGTGATGAGCCATTTTAGGATTACATTATAGTCCAATTAATGAGGTAGATAACAGGGGCAAAAAGGAAAAAGAATTACACATTTTACTTTTGTTTTTATATTACATTACATTGTTGAAAAATTGTGTCATTTACATTGCTTTGACTTTGATGTGTTTTGAATTTGACACTTTTAATACAGATTGATTTTTTAATTACAAAATGTAATAATTTTATTAAGAATTATTATAAATGTCAACACTTTGTCAGAAGATATCGCGTGTATTGTATACACTCTTTGGGATCTGGGTTAGGGCTTACACTTTCAATGGGTTAATGATGATCTAGTTGAAGTTTTGTTTATGAGTTAATATACATAGGAGGTAGTACATTCAGAGATATGGATATTTCTTTAAATATGTATATTTAAATGTTTGTAAAGTATTGTTCATTATTATTGATTTGTCAACCGTTCTTAGCTTAGTATTAAGACGTTAACTCAATACTAAGCTTGTGATCTTGTGCCCAATCCCCGCAAGAAGTACGCCCCTGTGGCAGGTAACCAAGCATCAGACACACGCGACACACGATTGCCATTAGTGTCCAATCTAGTCATCAAATGTGCTGGCCATATATCTGTCCATATCGCCACCACTCCGAGCCACAGAGACGACAACAATTAACGTGGTCAATCACCGTGAAAACCATGTCGAAGTCATCATGGATGAGCCGAGCCGGGTGCTTTGATCAGTTCAACTGAAACCCCAGATCGGAGAGGTCGAAAGTTCGCAATATTCGAGTCCTATATAAACTTTACTAACCCATCCAAAATGCTTATTAAACTGATTTTGGCGTTGGTAATTGGCTATGGAGGTATTTTTGCGCCCGGCAGTGCACAAAATCTGTTGGACCGACTGCGTCCGGTGAATATGACCCGTTTCGATGATGGAATCAAAGTGGTTTCCGGCACTAAGGTGAAGCGCTACGAACGGCTAACGATTCCGCTTGGCGGTCCAGTAGGAATTCCAGGAGGAGCTGGACTCCTTGGACCTTTGCTACCTCCGCAACCTTCGTATTTGGGGTATACCTATGTAAGTATCTTACATTCGTTTAATCTTTTCCATTATTTAAATATTTAGCTCTTCGGCTGTTAACTAGCAATTAACTAAGTAATTTTTAAATTACACAGTCATTTAACTAACTATTCATTATCTCTTTTGTGCGGCAGTTTACGAAGCATAGAATTGTAACACATAAGCTTACTATGAAAAGAAACGCCCCTATTATTTTGGCAGCTTTTATTTAATTACTTAATGATATAAATGCTACATGCGCACATTTTTGAAAGATGTTTTTTTAGTATTATTTAAAATTAATCAGTTTGATCTTCATAAAGGTTAAAAGTCTCCAATTCGATATATTCTATTTATATTACAATTACTTTTTTTTGATACCAGTTGGTGCCTCAATGGCAAGCGGGTGCTAAACTGATAGGAGATGGAGAATCAACGGGCGTGGCTGGTATGGTATCCTTTTTACAGCTTCCCTACAATTCGGACATCAAGGTGACGATCAATGTAACTGGATTACCACCTGGCAAACATGCTCTACATATCCACACCTTTGGAGATCTCAGTGAAGGCTGCAAGTCCACTGGCGGACAGTTTCCTAATAATTTCGTAAGTTATAAAGCTATCTGGGATCCCTTTTTCAGGATGATTGGTTTCTTAATATTTACCTATTTATATTAAAATTTCTATAGCTTGGCAATATTGACACGAAGGATGATGGAAGCATCTCAGCGGTTTTCCAAAGCATTTACTTGCAATTGTTTGGTATTAATGGAATTGTCGGACGTTCTATTGTCATTCACAGCAAGGCGATTGATCTGAATACGGCTCTGAATGCGGAGGTCTTTTCGTCCTCCCTTCAAGCAATGCCAAATCCTATGGCCTATCAGAATGAAGAGAATTCATTGGGACCGGCTATTGCCTGTGGAGTTATAAGTCTTATGAGCACAGCAGCCAGTTCGTCAGGTATGGCAACTGCTGCTCCAGCAGCACCTGCAATGGAAAATGCGGAGATTTAACTTGTATTCTAACAATAATATTAATAAAAACTATTTTGTAACTTAATTGAGGCGTGATGATCACATTGCCAAAGATCAGTGTCTTAAACATTTACTCAGACATTTTCTATAACTTAGTTCTTCCGAAATGTTGAAGTAATAGACTTATATCCTAATTGACTTCATTAATTTACTTATTTATTAAGCACAACCACATATATTTTTATTTAAATGTAGCCTTAATAGGTTGATTATCTTTTAGATTTGCATCATTAATCCTCTATTTTCTCTGATCAGTGACCTATTTTCATTGGATTTACGCATTCGGCCAAACGAACAACCTAGTACTATATTAATTATATCTCTTTAAACTCCCATTAAAAGCAGATAACTTTTTATGGTGTTTCACCTTCCATTTGTTTCCTGATTGTTCAATATTTTCGAGCTTATCAAATTCAGCTCAGCTTTAATGGCCATTACGTGCGGCGCATGCGCAAAGGTCTGGGTCGCCCAATGGGCCAAAACTTTCTTCGTCGGCTGTCGACGAATCTACTGACCAGTTGCCCGTTGCGGTTTCGCGATGTCCAAACGCGAAAGTAAGAGTTTTCCCAGCCAGGTGCTGATACTAGTGATTTTCATTTTGAATCAGGCTCAATGTGAGTCCTTAGAGGAGGATATCTCTCAGCCTAAGTTCGAATGGCCCTCGTTTGGATGGATGCGTAATAAAACCACCAAAGTAAAGCCAGCCTTGGATCTGAAGAATGACTATAGTCAAATGGAGTTGGCCAATTTTGGAGACTTTGATCGTCATCCATGCAGAAGAGTTTGCCAGCAGGGGCAATCACAGAACTGTTACTATCAACTGGTGGTTCATAATTACCAAAGACTTGGCCCGGAATGTCAGAGGTGTCAGTACGATGAAAGAGCCTGTGCAGCGGAGCATTGCATTTTTGGTGACGGAGTGGCTAATCCCGTGATGGCTGTTAATCGCATGGTTCCAGGACCGCCTATAGAGCTTTGTGAAAATGACACAGTGGTGGTGGATGTCTTAAATTACCTGGGTGAACCAACAACTATGCACTGGCATGGCATTCATATGCATAAGACTCCCGAAATGGATGGTGCACCCTTTATCACCCAGTACCCCGTGCAACCTGGTGAGGTCCAGCGTTATGAATTCCAAGTGGATCGCAGTGGCACGTTGTGGTACCACAGCCATGTGGGTTGGCAACGTGGATTTGGGGTGGCTGGTGCTTTGATAGTTCGTCAAACGCGACAGGAGAATCAGCATTCGCAGCTTTACGATTACGATCTAGTGGAGCACACCCTTATGATTCAGGATATCTTCTACGAATACAATCTTCAAGATGTACGCAATATCCTGGTGAATGGCAAGGGCCGTAATCATCTAAGTCAACTACCTGATAATGATAACCGACATCGCTATGAAAGACTTCGAGTTACTCCTGGCTATCGTTATAGAATGAGAGTTATCCTTAATGGCATATTCAACTGTCCCGTGGAGTTCTCCATTGAACAGCACAAGCTCTTGATCATAAGCACCGATGGCAATGATATTGAACCAGTCCTGGCAGATGGATTCTTCTTGACCTCAGCGGAGCGTTTTGATTTTGTTTTGGATGCCAATCAGTATAACAAAAACTATTGGATCCGTGTTCGAGGTTATGAGCAATGTGAGAGTCGGAATCTTTATCAAGGAGCAGTGCTTAGCTATCGAGGATCAGCTAGATCTAAGTTGCCAGAGGGCGATATCGTGTACAAGCAGAGTAGGTCTGCAGAAGATCTGATATTGGTGAACGATTTTCGCTTTAAGCCTGCGAATTCATCGATCATACCCTCTCTTCGGCAGTCCTTGGATAAGGATAATAATGTTGGTACTGTAGCGCTGCGATCAGTGGATCCTGTTCCGTGGAGTCGTTATACCAACTTCCTCACTCATTACTCCAGTTTCGGTTCGAGAACGGCACCCAATGGGGAGATGCTCTTTCAGATCGACGATGTATCGTATAATTCGCCGGGAATATCCCTGTTGCAGGGCAGGCATCTCTACCAGGATGATGGATACTTCTGTAATAAGAGCTCCTTGGTAGCACAGGGGCGTAACTGTGAAAGGGAGCTTTGTGAGTGTGTTCACGTTATGCGACTTCCGGCCTATCGTCCTTTGGAAATGGTTGTGGCCAATTATATGGACAGCACCCATCCGTTCCATATACATGGCTTTACATTCCGTCTGGTGGGTCAGGGAGTTCTGGGAAATCTTAACGATCTGCGCAATGTAAGTTATTCAAAATCTAAAAATCTATATGAAAATTTGTATATATATTTCTTACAGATCCGGGAACTTGATCGCAGAGGGCGTCTGCCTCGTTTATCGGATGATAGTGCAGCCGTGGCCAAGGACACGGTACAGATTCCAGGGCAGGGTTACATTATCATTCGCTTCCTCTCGGATAATCCTGGATTCTGGCTATATCATTGCCATGTTGAAGCACATGCCGTTCAAGGAATGGTGGCGGTCCTAAAGATCGGTGAGGACCATCAAATGAAAAATATTCCAGCACGTGTCCGTTGTTAAGACAAAATACCTTTCTATACATTAAACTTGAGGCTATCTTGAGCTTGAGTCACCCAATTTTGCCAAATGGAAATACAAAATAATTTATGTGCATTTAATTTATAATAATTTATTGGAAATACAAATATTCTTTACTTTCACTGTAAATTTGTGCGTTTCTTATCTGTAACCACCTAAAATCTCAACATTAAAAGTGGGATTAACCCACTTACTTAACTCATTTCCCACGCATTAGTACGTGTATCATAAATTAATTGACATTTCCGAAAATTACCACATTAATTCAAAGAAACTAATCGTGTCACCTTAACTTATCGGGTTTTATAAGGCACTTGAAAACAGTTTTCCTAATCTATAGGAAGAGTTTACCCCCATCGGATGAGGCGGTATATCAGATTATAAAGCCATTTATAGATTCAGCAAGGTAGCAGTTATATATTTTATGACCTCTACTTATATATAGCGTAATTGCTTTTTGATTACAAAAGTCGGCTTAGATCCAAAGAATTTAATATGCATATGAAAAAAGGGAATGTCGAATGTGAAGTGCAAATCTGCTAGACTCTTTTCAACGTTGAAGTGCGTCTACTTCTTAATGTCTATGTTGCATCCGTTAAAGATAAGATAAGTGTAGATTTTGTTAGTATTTACATATTTATAAAATATGATAACTTGGAAACTAAACTAATTGACAGAGGCGGACTCTGTTCTAGCCTCGTACTCGTTCATGATGGCTATAATGGGTTCGTTGATGTAGTGACGTACTTCCCAGTTGTTGGCAAAGTCTCCATGATCCCACAGTGGATCCTCCATATGATGCATAACCTTGTTGGGCAGCGTTTCCGCCACTCTGAGAACGTCTTCCACTGCAGACATCTCATCATTATCGGAATACCATAGATGCATCTCAGTTGTTATCAATTCAGTGGGATAATCCGGAGGGCTTTCGGTTCCATATACCTTCAGATTCTTTTTGGTTCCAAAGTCAAACTGACGGAAGTGTCCCGATTGATGTTCCTGCATGTAGTGCAGAATTTGATCCGTGGATATACCGGCGGGCATAGCTCCAGAGATCACAGAGTTGGCAGTCTACGGGGAAATAGTTAATGATTAAAGTTAATCCTAAAAGGAGTATTTGTTTAGACTTACGGAATTAGTTCTTCCTTGATCAACAGTGGTTTCACCACTACTGCTGCTGCAAAAACTGGAAACAATTGATCCTGGAAGACAAACACTGTACATGAAAGCTAAAACGAAATCATTGTAGGGCAGAAACTCCTGAGAGCAGAAGAGTTTTGAGTAGACATTGTTGAAGCCCAGATATGGAGACAGCGAATTGACCATAGAGTCATCCATGTGATCCATAAAAGCTACCGGAGCCAGCATATGCGCCGTTTTAACCTTTTGGTTATATTCCGGTCTGGAAGACATTAGCACAAACATCACGGTTGTGCCTTGAGAGTGCCCCACGTAGTGGATACCATCCTGACTCTGTCCATTTTCCGTGGACAAGGTGTAATCAATGGCAGCGGCAATGTCATAATATGCAATCTCGTGCCAACTGAATCGCCAAAAGTCCGGATGATTTATAGATCGGGTTGTGTGGTTTCTGGAGTATCTGTTTCCCCGAGCATTGCCCATCCAAACGTCGTATCCTGCATCGGACAACAGGAAAGGAAGGGCATCGTCAGGTCCTAAACTTGGCCAGACATCGGAGCTGCCAAAGAGTCCGTGCTGAATAAAAGCAATTGGTCTTTTTACATCCTGGTTTTGCAGGTTGTGAGAATAGGGAATTCGAAACAGGCTGGTAATATAGCCATCCTCAGTGGTCACGTAATGCCGCTCTGCTGGGTAGCCATGGTCTTTAATATAGTAAGTCTAGAATTAAGAATTATGCTATTATGAAAATTATTTTATAATGTTGCGTTCTTACCGTATCGGGCGCATTGGCCAATGACAAATGTGCATCTGGATTATTAAACAATTCGTAGAAATTTATGACTTCCACAGGATCCTCGTTAGTAAGAGGGGCACCTTGGACAACCGTCGCCCAGAAAATGCCTACTAAGGCAAAGAAAATACCGATGTGAGATCTACACATGTTGCGACTAAACTACTTCGAAAATACGTAAAACCTGAACCTTTTAAAGAATGCCACCCAGTACTTGGGGAATTTGCTAATTTTGATAAAAACCGATCAGCCAAATTAGTCAATTAAATGGTTATAAACCGAAGTGGTGGGTATAAAATGAAATTTCTCCCACGGGAAGGTTTATTGTTTTAGGTAAAAACGCAGATACGCAGAGTTATTGGCTATAATCGTAGTAGAGGACCCTCTTCTTTTGGGAAACCTATAATATAATCATTATGGAAATCTTTAGTTTACTTAAATAACAGATGCTCTTATTTTTGTAAATATATATAAAGGTGCTTGTATGTGAGAATGATTATGATATTCCCACCACTTGAGTTTATGGCCATTTAATTGGCTCTTTTGCTGATCGCTTCGTATCAGAATGGGCACTTTACTCGAGTACCCTGTAGAAGTCTTTATAAGGGCGTGTTGCTCTGCATTTTTGCTATAGTTAACTCGCAAAATGTATAGATCTCACATATGTGCCTTTGTTGCCTTAGTGGGAATATTTATAGGATTATTCGTCCAAGGAGCTCCACTTGATAATGATCCTGTAAAGATTACAAACTTCTATGAGTTGTTTAATAATCCTGAGGCGCACTTATCCCTAACTGATGGCCCCGATACGGTAAATTCAATAGGGAATATTATTATTATTTTATTACAAAATATACCTTCTGTAGACTCACTTTATCGGTGAACATGGATACCCAGTTGAACGTCATTATGTAACCACCGAAGATGGGTATATAGTCAGCCTCTTCCGGATTCCCTACTCCCACAACCTTCAGAATCAGGATGAAAAGAGGCCAATTGTTTTCATCCAACATGGTCTATTCGCCAGCTCTGATTTCTGGCCAAGTCTGGGACCAGACGATGGTCTTCCTTTCCTGCTTTCCGATGCTGGATACGATGTTTGGTTGGGAAATGCTCGTGGAAACAGATACTCCAGAAATCATACATCCCGCTCTATAAATCATCCGGACTTTTGGCGCTTCAGTTGGCACGAGATCGGATACTTCGACATTGCCGCTGCCATTGATTACACTTTGTCCACGGAGAATGGAAAGGACCAGGAGGGTATCCACTATGTGGGACACTCGCAAGGCACAACTGTATATTTCGTCCTGATGTCCTTGAGGCCGGAATATAACGACAAGATTAAAACCGCCCATATGCTGGCTCCGGTGGCTTTTATGGATCACATGGATGACTTTATGGTCAATACCCTGTCTCAATATCTGGGCTTTAACAATGTCTACTCAACACTTTTCTGCTCTCAAGAGTTTTTGCCGTACAACGATTTCGTCTTAGCTCTCATGTATAGTGTTTGTCTCCCAGGATCAGTTGTTTCCAGTTTTTGCAGCAGCAGTAGTGCTGAAACCTCTGTTGATCAAGGAAGAACTAATTCGGTAAGTTTAATCTGTAATCTTCTTAAGATAATTTTAGTAACCGAATATTTTCCTATAGACTGCCAACTCCGTAATATATGGCGTCATGCCTGCTGGTGTGTCCACAGATCAAATTTTGCACTACATGCAGGAACATCAATCGGGACACTTCCGTCAGTTTGACTTTGGAATCAAAAAGAACCTGAAGCTATATGGAACTGAATCACCTTCGGATTATCCAACTGAGCTGATAACATCCGAGATGCATCTGTGGTATTCAGACAATGATGAGATGGCTGCAGTGGAAGACGTTCTCAGAGTGGCGGAAACGCTGCCTAACAAGGTGATGCATCACATGGAGGACCCACTGTGGGATCACATGGACTTTGCCACTAATTGGGAAGTTCGCCAGTACATCAATGATCCGATAATAGCGATCTTGAACGAGTACGAGGCAAAGTGATACGGACAAAGTCCAAATAATTAGAGTTATTTGTATTTAATTCGCATTTTTGTAAATCCGAGCAATCCAGTCGTATCTTATCATTAGCGGATGTAGCTGCTACTCACTTCATTATTGATCAGATTTGCACTTGACACTCGACATATGCATTCTCCATATGTACATATATTCCATTCATTAGATCTTAGCCGACATTTGTTATCAGAAAGCGATTTCCCCATTTACAAGTAGGGATCGTAAAATATATAACTACTGCTTTTTAAATCTATAAATGGCTTGGTAATTTAAAACAGTGAAGGGGGTACATATTTCTGTAGATTACCGAAACTGTTCTTCAAGTGGCTTAAATTGCTGATTAGTAAGTTAGTTCTTAAGCACGCCAATTGGTGTATTTTGTTTTTGGAATTTCTGTCATAACTTTAAACAGATGAAAACGTTGTATAATACATAAGTTATATATATCTTAACTATTGTATTTCATTATAAAATTAAATCATAACATAAAGCTTTTAGTAACTAATAGTGTCTTTAATCCATATTTTATAACTTTTAGATTGGCGCCTTCTATTTTTTATGGATTATCTTGACATTCTAAATATATATAATCGAAACACTGATAGTAGGAGCTACTTGAAACTAAACCACTTAGGGAGCTCTACAAAACCAGAAAGTAATTTATTTGCCAACGGTCAGTTGGCATCGGACCATTGAAAACATAAGTAGAATGAACCGATTTACGGGTGGTTTCCTTGTCCTGGCTCTTCTGACCGTGGGTGCATATTCCGCAGCCTTAGATGGGCCTATCAATTTCTTTAAACTCTACGATAATCCTGAGGCTCATGTTAGTCTCAAGGGTAAAGAGACTACGGTAAGTGAAAAAGTTATAGAAAGCGAAAGGTTTTATACTGCTTGGTTGTAAATTTAAATTTATATTCAATTTCTAAGGCTGATCGCACTGCCTCCCATGGATACCCTTCAGAGCACCACCACATCACCACCGAAGATGGTTACATCCTGGGAGTATTCCGAATTCCCTATTCCCATAAGTTGCAAAACCAGAACGAAAAGCGACCAATCGTCCTCCTTCAACATGGATTAACAAGCTGCTCGGATGCCTGGATTTTGCAAGGACCCAATGATGGTCTGCCATACATGCTAGCTGATGCAGGATACGATGTGTGGATGGGCAATGCACGTGGAACTTCCTATTCCAGGAACCACACCACTCTTTCCACGGAAAACCCAATCTTCTGGCAATTCAGTTGGCATGAGATTGCCATCTATGATATCACAGCCATTATTGATTATGCTTTACGGACGGAAAATGGTCAAGGTCAAGATGCCATCCATTATGTGGGTCACTCTCAAGGAACTACGGTATATTTTGCCCTGATGTCAACGATTCCAGCATACAACTATAAGATTAAAACCGCTCACTTGTTTGCCCCGGTGGCTATCATGAAGAACTTGTCAAGTCCATTGGTGCGATACTTAGGTCCCTACTTAGGTCATCGAAACGCCTATTCCATCCTGTTCGGGTCTCAGGAGTTCCTGCCTCATAATGAGTTCGTTATGGCCTTGTTCTTCAACATTTGCCAGCCGGATATCATGTGGCGTCCGGTGTGCGAAGGTGCCATGAAGAGCCTTTATTCCGGGGGTCGTGTAAATATGGTAAGTATAAATGGAAAAGTGTTAATATTATATAATAATATTAAAATTGAAACCAGACTGCTATGCCAGAGGCCATGGCAACTCACCCTGCGGGCTGTTCTACCGATCAAATGTTGCATTACCTACAAGAACAACAGTCGGGTTATTTCCGTCAGTATGACCATGGGACCAAGAAGAACCTTCAAGTCTACGGATCTGAAGAACCCCCAGAGTACCCCGTGGAGCTAATCAACTCCTTGGCGCACTTGTGGTATGCAGACAGCGATGACCTGGCCGCTGTGGAGGATGTTCTACAAATAGCCAACCGAATGCCCAATGCGGTGTTGCATCACATGGAGGATCCGGAGTGGAATCATGGTGATTTCGCCCTGAACTGGGAGGTCCGTAAATATGTCAACGAGCCAGTGATTGCCATCATGGAGGAATATGAGATAGAGTACAGCCGTACGTGATTGATAGGCTTCTCAATCTCAGGGGAACTTTAGTTATTTTAAGTTAACAGATAAGCTAGTTACACTTAAAGAAACAATATTTAAAAAAAAGTTATAAAACTCAGTGATATTAAAGTGTTTAAAATGTGATTTTACTTATATGGTTAAACCATTTCTTGGAGGACATTTTTGCACCCGCGTTAAATATATTGTGTATTTTACTTATCTAATTGTGGCTAAAACTTTCCCCAATAACAAATCTAGACAGGAAAAATACTTGACCTTAGCCTATGTTTAAGTGATAAGATGATAAGATATTTACTTAAACTCTCGGCAAACTTTAGCTTATGTATAGCCAACTTTTCAGACTCTTTTCCTTGTAACCACAGGCACTTTTCAGTCCACCCGCCCACTTCACCCATTTGGACAGAGAAATACATTTGATTTTTCCACTCGAGCAACTTCTGATTGCCAGTTGATGGCCGACCAGCTGAAAGAATAATGCATATTCAAGCTTTTTATTCCCATTTCATGGTTCTTGGCATCATCGCAACTCCCCAAAGAACCAAGTCGATTTCTGGGCTTGTGTCTAAGCATAAATGCCCCCGGGTGGATATGTAAAAAAAGGCCGAGTAAGATATTAGAGCATAGTCTGGCTTTTGGCTAATGGATGTTGTTAGATGGCAAGTTCAAGGCCACGATTTGCGTGGGCTATGAATGCCACCATGGCAATCGGGATTTGATTTAATTGGTCTTAATTTGTGGGCCGTGTAATCAATGGCACTGAATAGTTCTGCTGAGCCGCAAAGAAATACGCCTGCCATTAGTTAACTGGATTAATTGAAGTGTACATGGCAGAGCGGTAATTTAGGGATTGTGTTTTCGCTTTTTAGGTAGAAATTAAATTATATTTTCCCTCAGCCTCTCTCGGGCAAAAAGTTTTGCAGCGCAGTCAACGAGGCGTGGCAAGTAAAAAACACACGGAAGCGTTAAATTGGCTCAAGTGTGCACAACACAAAATACACACAAAAACTATAAAGAAATGTAAACAGGAGGGATGCGATTTCAAGATACCCAGTGTATACGAAGGTGATTTTGTTCTGAGATAATGGAAATTAAACGCCAGTTATGCATTTCGTATTATGTAACGAAGTGTTTTTTCTAGTTCCTTAAAAATTAAAATTCATTTTATTAACTATTGAAAATGATATAAAATGTAGTTATATAGAAAATAAGCAAGTCTGGGTAGCATATCCTGTTTAACAAACTTTGAAGGGGAGGTGGAAAATTCTCTCTTTCTTTTTTATTACTGTTTATATTTTCCCGAGTTTAATATCCCCTTATGCTCATCAAATACCGAGTATAAAGAAGAGAAAACACACAAGAAAAACTAAAAGGAGCCAAAGTCAAGGCAACTGCATGGCCCCTTAGACCAATGGAGGTGCAGTTGCAGGCGGAAATGGGAAAATTTCCAAACACTAACTGCACAAACATCTAACTGGCTTCAAAGAGGAGAGGAGATGAATCGCGAAAGGTGAGTGGGCGTGGGCGAGGGCTTCCCCTGGAGTTAAACTTTTGTTTTTGGCGCCAAGTCATAAGGCCAGAACAGTTGGGGTTTTCAGACAAATTAAGCCCAAACAGAAAGGGTCAAGTGCTGCTTCTGCTGTTGGTGTTCCCACTTTTTGGCCATTATTTTGCATATGCTAAACTCGGTTTTTCATTTTGCTCGTCGTATAAAAATAATTAAATTTTTGTAGCACTTTCTGGCGTCTATTTTGTTTTTTTGTTTCGGTTTTTTTCCGGCGCCATATTTACAGTGGTTTTATATTGCGGTTGCCATTGGCCGCTATCTATGGTTTAGTTCAGCTCTTTAATTCCGCGCATAAGTACGGTGCACACGCTTACGAATTTAAATATGATTTTATCTTTTTAGCTTTACGACTATTGTTACATTGTTCATCATCGTTTTTTCTGGGTGGTGTAATATTCTTTTGTTTACTTTTGGATCTTCTCTGGTATCTAATGGGGCTGATTAAGGCTATAAATAGAGCAGAAGAGCTTTAGAATGGAAGGTCCCATTTCATAGTTTTCATTGGCTTATATTATATGAAGGTGATAAGGAAACTGATTTAGGGACATAAAACTTATCCATTGGTCTAATTTTCTTTTGTTTGATCTCGGATTTTAGTTGGTATCTAATTGGGCTGATTAAATCTATTCATAGAACAGGGATGCTTTGGAATGGAAAGTCCCATTTAAGAGTGCAAAATGATCTGCTTTTCTAAAGATCTGATAATGCCAGAATGAACTAGTAATTTGCAAATTTATGTGCCTATCTCTGCTACTTTAGTTCACCTACGCAACCTGAAAGCAATTAACTTTAAGAGTGCTTATTCTTAGTTCCTGTTTTAAATCCCTATTAAACTGACCTTCCCTTACACATAATAACAGTAAGTCCTTTTTGCTGCTCCTTTTCCCATTTGAAGGCTGTCCTTACTTACAAGGGATTACCTCAGTAAAAGATTACCCAAAAGTCAGAGTCACGTTGTGTGCGTTTTGTAGGTTTCCACAAATTGAATTTACCTCCTTGGTTCGACCCTGCAACAGACGTAAGTAATTGCCGTAATTGATTGTCAAAAATCAATTAGTTGGTGTGCTGGCTAGTTATGATACATATATATATGTAATTCTATATATACATAATACCTTACAACATATTTGGTTTGTGAGGAGACCAGCCCTGCAAGTGCAGCTGACTGTTGGAGGCAAACATAATTGGTGCACAATTCAAGAGATGATATCATAGCCATTGTGCGTCCATTAATGTGCATTAAATCCAATAAAACAGATGAGGCTATTTTTTGACACTGACCTAATCTTTATTGGATTGAACTTTAACTTGATTCGATAGTTTTTGGATGTTGGATAAGGCCATGGCTAGCTAACTTTGTTGGCCATTTTCGAAATTCAATTTGTGTCCCATTCTGTTGCGTGGCTAAAAATCCAATTGCTGTGAAATGAATTGCCACGATGTCGAAATTCAGACCTGACCTGGGATGGCTATGGATGCCATTGTAGTATTTAATTAGAGGCCCGTGTACATCACGCATACGTCACGTCGTACCCTTGACTTCTGAGAGTATTTGGTAAATACTAGGTATTTCCGTCTAATCTTCGGCAAATACAATGACTTGGCCCACACTTCAACGCCTGGTTACTATATTAAAGTAAAGTCAGTCACCATCATTATTAGATTTTTATCTAAAACCAGTAGCCACCCGTTTGAGTTAGAACGTGGCCTTTTATCATGGAAATTTTCGCGCTTTTTGAAGTTGTAAACAGTATTTTAAAAAAATGTGAAAATGTGAATTGCGCCAGGGATATGCATTTTTATATATTACTTAGCACAGGGCAATAAAACCACAGACGCGACACGTCCGCGTACAAAGAAAGTAATTTACTATCTGGCAGAGATCGTGGGGCTAAACAAAGATACACACTATCACTCTCCGAGTGTGGGGGGTGTGGACGTATACTTATCTATCTATCTATCCAGATCCCAGATCCGACATGCCCCTGGCAATTTAGGCGATAAAGCCTTACACAAAGCCTCTGCCCACACTCTTACAAGATTTGTGTGAATTACGATCGGCCAATCTGATGATGCTGATGCTGATGCTTTGTCACCAGATCTTGATAAGATCTCCGGAGATCTCTAACTCAGCCAGCGGCGGAAAATAAGTTCAGTGCTCGGCGGTGATTTGGACCATACACTTGTGTGTACTCGCAACCAAATCGAATTGAATTATCCTGAAACCGGAACTCAAGGATCTTGAAAGCGTGCGTGCTTAAAAATTGTTTAATAAATATACCAATTAAAATCAATTAATCTCCTTAAAAGTGTTCGGCCTGACTTTAGTTTGTGTTCGAATTCAAATATAGTTTGTTTTGCCTTTTCAAAGTAGTTTGATTTATAATATTAAAAGATAAAGACGTAAAATTTTTAACACTTTTTAACCTTGAATGCATTAAGGTCACTTGAGTGTTAGAGATTCATAATGTTTTGAGATAGGTGCGTTAAACATGACTTCATAAATCATTTGTCTAGACAAGAAATTCAGGGATCAAGCTGTTCTATAAATTATTTTATAAAATAAAACAAAGAGAATTAGTTCTTTTCTTACTTTTTGTCCTTGGTCAACCAAACCCTTTTAAGTCGACAGTGTCCTTTCATTTCGAAATACTAAAAATAACCTAATTCGAAATTGAATTCAATTCACAGTGCTTGTGCGTGTGTTAAACTAATGCAAAAGTAATCAAAGCCAAACGCATTAAAGCGACGCGGCTGGAAGTCAATAAAAATAAACTACATAAAAGCAACTTGCGGTGCCGGAAATAATGTCAACCACTGCCGATCCCGTGGCGGTGGGGGTAAACTCCCCCGTGGAGGCTGTTGTGGCCAAAACCACCACAACGGTGGCCAATGCGATTGCGAAGACAGTGGCCGTAATTAGCAGTACGGTCTCTACTAGCTCCACAACTGGCGCCACTCTCGCATCCACAACTACTTCTACGCCCACTCCCATTCAATCATTACCCCCATCCCTGGAGGATGGCGAGGAGAAACTCAGCGTGAAGGATTTGAGCCAGACCCTGCAGCATTTCGGCATTGTTGATTACTTGGTCTTCATAGCTATGTTGGCGGTCTGTGCCGTTATCGGCTTCTATTTCGGGTTTATCGAAAAGAAGGAAAAGAAAAAGAAGCTGGGCGAGAAGGATGGCGGTGGGGCAGCAGGCGTTGAGGAAAGGCGCGGCTCGGAGGCGTTGGACTACCTGGTGGGCGGACGCCAAATGAAAGTGTTTCCGGTCGCGCTGTCACTTGTGGCCAGGTGAGTTACAGTTTCGGCAATGGCAATGTATATGCAAATGGTAAATTGGCCCTGCGTATTTTATTCTGGCCCGGCTAACAGGATGTGCACAGAGAGAAAGGATACAACTTAATTTAAGATTCACTTCATTAAAAATACTATAACAGATTGCTTAAAAATATTAGCACTTTATGCTTAATTTTATTTTCTAATATTAATTTAGAAAAGTTAAGAAATCATTTAAATGCAAATACTTTCTCAACATTGATTTTCCCTGTGCATACCTGCTTAATTACTTTTGACACGGCCAACGAGAAGGTGGAGAGTCCTAAATGAAAAAGTGGCAGGAAGGAAATTGAGGAAATTTATTGTTCAGACCGCTTTAAGCCGGGATAATCCTCGAAAAATTGAATGCGGTGCATTCATTTGAATTGCGGCTAATATTTGCACAAATTATCGTAATGGGCTTAACCCAAACCCGGCAAATCAATCAAAATATTTTCAGTCATTTCGCTTAACTGCCTGCCATTGGGCCAAACGTGCGTATACGTAATCTAAGCAAAAATAAAAAGGAGATTATCTGCCCCAGACCAGCATTGTCTGGCGAATTGTTTGGCGAGAACAAACAGTGTAGCGTTTTATTTAAAAGTTTCCGACACAAGACTGGGCATTGCGTAAACAATATTCATTGTCAGGGTCAAGCTTATTATGGATGGATGGGTGTTGCTGGGGATGCCTTTGGTTTGTTCTGATATTGAAATGGCTTGCGGAACTTTTCGGAGTAAATATATCTGGCATATAAATACAACTTAGCAGCTCACAGTTTCTAAGCCAGATTGAAGTTATTTAAACTTGCGCCCGGCCGCAAACTCAAATAATTTGCCCAAATTACTTTTACTTTGCCGTTCGTAGGGCAGAGTGACCTTGGTCCTGTTTCTTGGCAAAGGGATGGAGGATGTCTTCTTGTATTTGACACGTTTTGGTCAAGCACCTTTTGAAGGGTGCGGTCCCTTTGTCTTAGCCGTCGTGTTGTCGTCGCATTAATGACCAGGCCGACAGGACCTGTTCCCCGAAATCCTGGCTAGGCGCTCTTGGTCATTTGCCTCGCCCGCTGACAATTGTTTCGTGAGCCTTTTATTGTTATGGCATTCTATTTGTTGTCGTTTGCTTTTTGCAACAAATTCAGCCAACGTGCTTTGAATTACAATTACATGCCATCATTTTTTTCCTCTATAAAACGCCCTTTGTTCCTTTTGCAGATTTTTTCAATTTTTTTAAAACAATTTGTTTTGGTTGTGTGTGTGTTTGTGTCTGCATACTTTAACGCCGCTTGTTATCAACTTTTAATGGCATTTTTCTCTCAGCCATCAACTTTGTGTGTCTGTGGTGGCAATTCATTTGTCTTGTGGCCAAAATTGAAATGATGATTGTTATGGACATTAATCATTAAAATCAGATTACCAAATGCACGGCCCAGGAAAAGTTTTCTTTGTCAAATGCGACTAGACATGATATTGTTGATTGCATTCAATTCAAGATAGTATAACACGTGCGCAAACTTGTTTGGCTTGGATATATAAAAATGTATTTTTTTCCAAAATTAAAGCATCTTTACTGTAAAAATAGAACCAATATTTAATATTCAATGAGGTGTAGCAATGCCCCTAGCCATTGCCAATCGATTAACTTAAGTTTTTTTTTTTACAAAATTTTGCCCACCTTCGTAATATCTTTGACCAACAACTTGAGTGGCCCCAACTTAATTCAATTAAAAAATTTCCTTCAAGTTGACTTTGGGATGCTGGGAAAACCGAGAAAAAAGAAAGGAAAACTTTTGCCGAAGCAAAAATAGATCCTGATCAATCGGTTGGCAATTAGCGTTGCTGAACTTTAAGCTCCAGACGTAATTAGCGTTAACTAATTTCTTGTGTTTCGCTTTCAGCTTCGTGTCTGGAATCTCGCTCCTGGGAACTTCGACGGAGATCTATGTGTATGGAACGCAATATGCCTTCATTCTAATCACTCTTGCCATCTCTGGAACCATTTCGTGGTACATCTTCCTGCCTGTATTCTGCAATCTCCAGCTGACATCAACTTATGAGGTAAGCAGAACGTTGTCCAATCTGAGAATAATGTGTGTGTTTACCTATTGGTCTGCATGTTACGCATTAATTCTATGTTTCTGAGTGTACGAATTTGGATTCTTTTGATATTCGATGGCATGTTAATGTGTAAGTAAGGCTAAAGCCAAACAACCAGCAGGGAGTACATGTTCTATAGTAAAATAGCAAAACAAAAAAAAAAAACAAAAACATAAAACAGGGGACAAAACCAGGGTGCAATCAGCTGTAAGAATTCTTTGAATGCCAGTTTATTTGCATGCCATAGATATAGACACGAGGTTTTGGCGCACAATGGCTGGCCTGGTTGCAATAAGCTTGAACAATACCAATTGTACGGGCTGGCATACGTATGGTCGTAGTTTATAAGTTGGTGCCTGGCTACATGTTGTATGAGTAATAGTCGATTATGTATGCGCCGCGTTGCTCCACCACACACACGCACTCACACGATATGTCGGTGTGTGTGTGTGTGTGTTTGCGTGGGCAATCCTTATTGTGTGTTAACCGAAAGCCGACAAACCATTTGGACAAAAAAAATATTTGCAGTATTTCGAGTTGCGCTTTAACAAATCGGTTCGCCTGCTGAGCTCCGCCTTCTTCACAGCTGCAAACGTAAGTATAATCTAATATTGAGTGAAAAGAAAAACATTCAAGCTTTTGAGATCCTGAAGGAGTGCTCTTAAAGTTACTTTAATAATTACTAAAGAGTTTTATTTTCCCAGCTTATCTGGCTGCCTATTGTCATCTATGTTCCTGCGTTGGCCTTTAATCAAGGTAAGAAACTTCTATCCTACTTAAAATCATGGCTACACATTCTGACGAGATAACCTAGTTATTCAAAATTGGTTTTTCATATTTCAAAGCAAAAATATTGTCAAGAACCCTTAGATGACATTGACTTTTTTTATAAAATATTTCCTATTTTGTCTTTCTTTTCAAAGCAATCATAAATGAAACCCCCAAACTTCCTAATCCTGCTTGTTAAAGATATAAACTAACACATTTAAACCCTTTTCCATGCAAAAAAATATAATTTTTCTTGTCCTTATGTGACTACTGTGCACTTTTGCAGTTACCGGCGTAAATATACATGTCATCACGCCAATCGTGTGCCTCGTCTGCATTTTCTATACTACTGCCGGCGGGCTGAAGGCCGTTGTCTGGACAGATGTGATCCAAACCGTCATTATGATAGGCGCGGTTATCTTTGTCATCATAAAGGGTACTCTCGATGTGGGCGGACTAGGCGTGGTTATTCAGAGAAATTTCGATGGAGACAGAATCGAGATACCAGAGTGGGTGAAAGCTGCTTTATTTTTCTAGCTCTATATAATAGATGAACACATTTTGCCAAACAGATTCACTCTCGATCCCAAAGTTCGTATGTCTATGCTGGCCTTGTTGGTAGGAAATGTTGGCCATAATGCTTACCAATTTGGCTGCAATCAAATGATGACTCAGCGATACCTGTCCCTGCCTGGTGTTAAGCAAATGGCACACACGTCTTTCCTCTTCGTTGTAGGATTGATTTTTTTGTATTCTCTATGCTTGTACAATGGTCTCCTGCTTTACGCAACGTACTACGACTGCGACCCATTGACCACAAAGGTTAGGAAATATTATCTCTAAAATGGAAAGGAAAATCGATTTTAAACTCGGCACTAGATTTTATTGGAATATTAACCTTCAATTAAGGATATATCCTAGCCTTTGGAAAGTCTGAGTTTAATTTCGATTTCTCCTGTTTTACGATTTACTTTTGAATGAGAAACTGAATTTCAGTTGGCAGTGGCCAAGGATCAGTTGGTTCCCCTGCTCGTGGTTCAATCCATGAGCTCATTCCCTGGAGTTTCCGGAATGTTTGTTGCTGGAGTGTTTAGTGCCGCTCTCAGTTCCCTATCTACGGGTATGAACTCCCTGTCCGCTGTTTTCCTGGAGGATTACATAAGACCTTTGTCAAAGAAGCCGCTTACCGAGCACCAGACCGCTGTTGTCATGCGGGTCTGTACAGTGGTCATCGGAGTCTTGAGTGTGTCCTTGGTCTTCGTGGTCGAACGGATGAGTTCCCATGTCCTTCAACTGGGCATTACTATTGGTTCCGTGGTCCAAGGTCCGCTCTTTAGCCTCTTTTTAATGGGTCTTCTTTGTCCAAGCATCAACTCAAAAGTGAGTCTCAATTCAAAAAAGAGTTTTGAAAGTCTTCAAGAACGTAACAAAATGATTATTTTGTTTAAGAGTGCTATTGCGGGATCCATTACGTCGTTCATCTTCATGGCCTGGCTTACTATTTCGGCCCAAATTGCCATTAACTCTGGGGAAATTCATGCTGCGGAAAAGCCTGTCAGCATCGAAGGCTGTGATTATGAATTTGACCGTTCCCTGGTGACCCCTGCCAATGCCACCATTCTCAGCAGCGAACCTGCGTAAGTTCCATCGAACCTTCCTAACTTCCCCCTTCTCATCATCTAAGCCTAATCCTACAGGTCTCTTAGTTTTGCCGAGCAGCTGTATCACATATCCTTCATGAATTACACGACTATGGGGGGCATCCTCGGTGTGATTCTAGGACATCTGGCCGGCTTTGTATTTGGCCGAAATAATGCCGATGACGTGGATGATGCGTTGCTCGCGCCCATCATGCACAAATTCAGGAAACCCAAATATTCCAGCGTTAACCTGACCGAGAACTCTTTGGCCAAACCAGATGAGAAATCATAGAAAAAACTTTAATTATTTAAACATTTTCTTTTTCTAATATCTACTAATTTTTACCCATGAGAACAGCCCCATACGAAATGTGTTTTGTTGAGAAAATATCCGAAGTGTACTTATCAATAAAATCCGTGATTTCTTATCTTTTTTTGGTGTTAAGTTAGATATTTTCTATTCAATCTTAGCAATCAAACGTCCGAGTTCTTTAACATTTTCCAGTAAGTGCTTCTGAAATTATAACTTATCACTAATTTTATCGGGCTCTTGACAATCCTAAAATGTATTAATTTGAAACTCTTTTTGATTTCATTGCATGCATGCTTTACTGAAGCTGAAAAGTAACCAAAATTTCTAAAGAATCAAAAGCTGTATTTTTTCGGAAATAAGTTTCAGCTTCTTTAAAGGTTAAGGCCCGAAACTTAAAGGCCTTTAAAAACCGAGCGCCACGTGTTGACTTTTGTGCACTTTTCCAGTTACTGGAATAAATATACATGTCATCACGCCAATCGTGTGCCTCGTCTGCATATTCTACACAACTGCCGGCGGGCTGAAGGCCGTTGTCTGGACAGATGTGATCCAAACCGTCATTATGGTGGGAGCGATATTCTTCGTCATCATCAAGGGCACCCATGACTTGGGTGGACTAGGCGTGGTTATTCAGCGGAATTTCGACACCGGACGAATGGAATGGCCTGAGTGGGTGAAAATTGTTTACTAGGGCGAGTATCACACATGGCAATAATCCTGCCAGGATGTGTGGTACACGGTTTCCCCTGCCTATTCATAACCTGAAACATTTTCAAAACAGATTCACGCTGGATCCCAAGGTGCGAATGTCCATGCTGGCATTGTTGGTGGGCAACGTGGGCAACCACGTCTATAATCTTGGCTGCAATCAGATTATCACCCAGCGATACCTGTCCCTGCCCGGAGTCAAGGAGATGGCACAGTGCTCGGCCGTTTTCATATTTGGATTGGTTTCTCTGATGGCCATCTGTGTTTATAATGGTCTCCTGCTGTCGGCGACGTTCTACGACTGTGACCCGTTGACCACAAAGGTTAGCATTTATTATCTAAACCATTTTCAAAAATCTTAATAACTTAGAACTTACTTTCAGTTGGCAGTGGCCAAGGATCAGTTGGTTCCCCTGCTCGTGGTTCAATCCATGAGCTCCTTTCCTGGAGTACCAGGAATGTTTGTTGCTGGAGTGTTCAGTGCCGCCCTTAGCTCCCTATCAACGGGCATGAACTCCCTGTCTGCAGTTTTCCTGGAGGATTACATTAGACCTTTGGCAAAGAAGCCCCTAACTGAGCACCAGACTGCTGTTATTATGAGAGTGTGTACTGTAGTTATTGGAGTCTTGAGTGTTGCCTTAGTCTTTGTGGTCGAACAAATGGGTTCCCATGTGATGCAACTATCCATGACCGTAGGATCAGTGGTTCAGGGTCCTCTTCTGGGACTTTTCGTGATGGGCCTGCTGTGCCCAAGCATAAACTCGAAGGTAAGTCCTTTAACTATTCGTAAAATTGTGGTTTTTATATAATTATTTCCCTTAAGAGCGCCATGGTGGGATCCATCTGCTCTTTCTTCTTCATGAGTTGGCTGTGCATTTCGGCGCAATTGGCCATTAACTCCGGCGAAATGAAATTCGAGGCCAAGCCAGTTAGTGTTGAAGGCTGTGACTATGAGTTCGAACGTGACCTAGTGACTACTGCTAATGTTACTACTCCCTTGTCAGGATCTGAGTAAGTTTCTGCAGTTGTTATCAGGTTAATAACTCATCTCTTGAGTTTGTTTCCACAGATCGCTTAGTTTCGTTCAGCAGCTATACAACATCTCCTTTATGTTCTATAGCGTCTTGGGTGCCCTTATAGCCGTAACTGTCGCCCATTTGGCCGGCTCTGTTTTTGGCCGTAATAAGGACGATGATGTGGATATTGATCTGCTCTCGCCCTGCGTTCGGGGATTCCAAAAGTCCAACTATTCCAGTGTAAAATTAAATGAGAACACCTTGAAAAATGTCACTGAAAAGTCGTAGAAAAAAATTTCTTACCTTTTACATGTCAATAAAATATACTCTTAGCAGCACTTTAAATTTTGTTCAGTGAAGTTAGTAGTCGAAATTTGTAAATAACTGATACCAGCATCTTGAATTTTTGCATCGCATGACACAAAATTTTGTCTAAGTAAGCTTAGTAATTATATATGTAAAATCTAATCAATATTCCTTAAACCTTTAGTACTTTCAATTGCGCTATGGTGCTGGCATACGCAATTTGGGTTCGGCCCTCTTCATCGTAGGAACTGTGAGTATATAAGCCTCTAAAGTATCTTTACACACATTCCAATTTTCATTCGCAGATGCTCTGGCTTCCTGTGGCGCTATATGTACCGGCCATCACCTATAATCAGGGTGAGTTTGAGTTTGGATTTGGCATAGCAATTTCAATTTACTGTCTGCTTAAAAGTGCACTTGAGGAAAATTTTCCAATATACTTTTGAAATATGCTTATGCTTATTTCTTACTTAAAGTTAGGTACTTTAATTGGATATAAAACGAAAACTTTCTCTCTTTATTCGTAAACTGGCACTTTTAAGCTATTTAACCTGTAAAAATATCTTTGATTTTTGATCAGTGCTTGCATAGAAATAGTTCTGTTTATTATTATAAAATCATCTTTCAGTAACTGGCACTGGCATCCATGTAATTACGCCCATTGTCTGCACTATCTGTACTTTCTACACGTGTGTGGTGAGACTTAATTAAATTTGGCTATCAACTTGTTGGCCAAGTCGAAGATTTTGTAATTTCAGGGCGGACTGAAGGCTGTCATCTGGACAGATGTCATTCAGAGTTTCGTGATGTTTGGTTCCATTTTGGCGGTTTGCATAAAGGGCACCTTCGATGTGGGCGGACTGGGCGTGGTTATCCAACATAACGAAGACGGCGGACGTCTTAATTTACCGGAGTAAGTCTACGTGATGATTAATTTACTCGGTAATTTTGTGGTCATTCTAAAATGACAGGTGGACATTGGATCCCACAGTACGGTTGTCCATGTTGTCTGTGATTTTGGGTGGCACCCTGCATAAGATTCAATCCTCGGATGTCAACCAGGTGTCCATTCAGCGATTCCTATCCCTGCCAAGTTACGAGCATGCCAAGCGATGTATGCTGGTCTTCACATTGCTCTTGGTGTTCCTTCTCAGCTGCTGTAGTTATATGGGCTTGGTGTCCTATGCCGTCTACCACGATTGTGATCCAATTAGTACTAAGGTGAATTGCTATTATTTAATCATAATTATTTTTTAGCTATTATTCTTAGAATATTTACTAAATATTCTTACCAGTTAGCTACTGCCGTCGACCAACTGCCTTCTTTGCTAATGATGCGAACGCTGGGCTCACTACCTGGATTACCAGGACTCTTTGTCTCTGGGGTTTTCAGTGCTGCCCTGAGCTCCCTTTCCACGGGCCTTAACTCCCTGGCTTGCGTCATTACTCAGGATATCGTGAGACCATTATTGAAAAAACCGATGACCGAGCGCCAGACGGCTTTTTGGTTGCGGGCCATTGTCGTTGTTTGCGGATTCTCCTGTCTTGGCATGGTCAACATTGTGGAGAAGTTAGGTCAAGTTGTTCCATTGGCCACCAGCACGGCGGCAGTTTCTATGGGTCCTCTATTAGGAATTTATTGTATGGGTGTCGGACTGCCTTGGGTGAAAGGAAAGGTGAGTCAGACATTAATGATTGCTTTTTGAATGTTAAACATAAAATTTCTGCCAGAGTGTTCTGGTGGGTAGTCTGGTATCCTTTCTAGCAGTGGCCTGGATATGTGTCAAGGCTCAGTTGGCCCAAATGAATGGAGAGATTCGCTATCCCAAGCTACCCGTTTCGGTTGATGGCTGTGACTATGCTTTTGATAATCATACAGTCCATGATACTATCCACGGGTACAGGTAAGTATGGAAAACTAAAGATCATTCTATTAATAAAAATATATTTTATCTCTTCTTAGTCCCTCTGAAAGAAACGTCTATCACTTGTCCTTCCTTTGGTATACAGCCTTGGGTGGTGTGATTTGTACTGTGGTCTCATTATTAGCTGGTTTGATTTTCGGCTGGGAGGATCTCAACAAAATGGATCCAGCCTTAATCACACCCTGTATGAGACGGTTCTTGCCTAAAAAGAATTACCAGGCTGTTAATATGGAAGATCTCTTTAAGCGCAAGGCGGAAATTGAGACCCAAAATGCTTCTTAAACTTTGTTAATAAAACATTTGTTTTCTTTTTTGTGTAAACGATTTTTATTTAGTTGTGTGTCTTGAATTCCATACCCTTTTTCATTTACCCAATGCATCTTGTACATAACCATGCATCCTATAAACTATTTTTCCTGTTTCTGTTTAATTTCATTTATCTTAGTACTTTGAAAGACGTTTCGATCGACGTGTTCGCATTTTTGGATCCTGTCTCTTCGTGGTGATGAACGTGAGTTCAATATTAAACTTATTTAAACTTGAGTTACTTAAAACTAATATTCTTCTAGGTTTTATGGCAACCCATTTGTATCTATGTTCCGGCTTTAACTTTAAATCAAGGTAAAACTTTTTCCAACTAATTTTATTTTATTTTCAATTTCTTTAATTGCTTGATTAGTTTCTGGGATAAGTGTCAACGTGATTGTACCCGTTACTAGTTTTATTTGCATCTTATACACCAGTGTGGTAACTATTAAGATCATAAGATTATTACATTATTATAAACATCATCTACTTTATAATTTAAAACATTTTTAGGGTGGTATTAAGGGAGTTGTTTGGACGGATGTCATTCAGTCCCTCGTAATGGCAGGTGCTATGATGATTGTCATCATTAAGGGAACTATGGATTTGGGTGGCTTGAGCGTTGTGTTGGATCATAATCGTCAGTTCGATCGTCTTGTGGGTCCAGAGTAAGTATAAAACTCTTCATTTTTAATAATTTGTTAATGATAAAAATTTTAGAATGACCTTCGATCCGACTGTGAGAATGGGTTTCTTTGCGATATTCGTTGGAGGCACATTGTTCAAGATCATGGCAGATGGCATTAATCAGACTATAGTCCAGCGTTATCTAACTTTGCCTAATAATCAGGACGTTAAGAAGGCCTTGATTCTGTCATTTGCTGGTTTTTTGATGATCATATTGATGTGCATTTACATTGGAATGCTGGCATTTGCTGATTTTTATCACTGCGATCCTATTACAACGGGGGTAAGTCCCAGAAAATATATCAACGTTTTTGTTATTTGTTACTTATACCCTTAAAAAATTATTTATATGTATTATTTTTTTATTCTATTATCTCCTTCCAGCTAGCCCGTGCCAAGGACCAAGTCATACCACTTTACGTGGTAAGAAGTGTTGGCCATATTCCTGGTCTCGTTGGACTTTTTGTAGCTGGAGTTTTCAGTGCTGCTCTGAGTTCCCTTTCGACGGCTCTTAATTCACTTTCCGGTGTAATTCTTACGGACTTCGTAGAACCCTACAGAAAGAAGCCCCTGACCGAACGACAAACCGCCTATTTGTTAAGGGGCGTGGTCATTTGCTTTGGTCTGATCTCGATGGCCAGTGTACCGATTGTCCAGAGACTTGGCCTGGTCATGCAGCTGTCCTCAACAGTGGCGGCCATAACTTGTGGGCCACTTCTTGGAGCTTTTTGTGTGGGAATGTTACTGCCTTTTGTTAAGACAGAGGTTTGATTAAGAGCTGGATAAATTTAAAGAAAACTCTTTAAAAGATAATATTTTTCTATATTTTTAGAGTGTTCTCGCAGGCATCTCGTGCGCCTCGAGTTTTACAGCCTACATTGTGGTGCGGGCACAGATTGCCATATTCACAGGAGAGCTGACCTTCCCAACGAAGCCCGTTTCCATAGAGGATTGTGATTATACCTTTGACCTGCCTGAGAACTGGAATGCCACTAGCACGGCGTATGTAATTGTTCCAAGTGGTAAAACTATCTTGAAGACTTTTTAATTGGAATTTTATTCTTTTTTATAGAATTCCAAATGAATCCAAAAGTCATGGCATTCATGAGATCTCTTTTCTGTGGTACGCCACAGTGGGTTCTGTGGGCACTGTACTGGGATCTTTGCTGGCCACTCTCTACTTTGGCCGACAGGATCCCCGTGTAGTGGATAAGGAACTAATTAGCCCAATTTTGAGAAAATTCTGGTATGGAAAATACGAAAGTGTGTCCAGTGAGGAGAATATTAATATCCATGAATCGGAAACTCAGATCAAATTGGAGCATCCTGAAAAGTGATAATAATCCTTAATATTTATCCTGTAAATATATTCATCGTGTATGCAAAACCCATAACCTTGTAGTTTCCTTTTAGCTTATAGAAATTGTTCTGTACTTAAACTTAACCGAATGCTTAGCTTTATTTTTTTTAGTTAACTTATGTAATCATCCTTCAAGCGGGTCTGTCCTTAGTCCAGTAATACTTGCCGAATCCTTACTTATACACACTCACTCTTTCAGTACTTTGAAAGGCGTTTTAGCCGGAGAATGCGCTTGTTTGGAGCTAGCCTCTTTGTTCTGAAGGCAGTAAGTTTAAAATTTATTATATCATTTGTTCGTTTTTATTTAATATTTATATTCTTTCAGATTATTTGGCTTCCCATTGCTGTCTATGTCCCAGCATTAACCTTCAATCAAGTGTCTGGAATTGGCATCCACACCATCACACCTATTGTGGTCATCATTTGCACTTTCTACACCTGCGTGGGCGGAATTAAGGGTGTGGTCTACACTGATGTCGTTCAGAGTGTTATAATGTATGGATCCTTGATCGTGATCATGATCAAGGGCACCTTGGATTTGGGTGGCTTTACGGAGTTATGGAGGATTAACGAAGAAGGCGGTCGCATAAATGCCCCTGAGTAAGTGAAAAATGCTGAATATTTTAATCATATAATGTATGTATTTCCTTATACTTCAGATGGTCTATTGATCCCACAGTTCGCTTGAGTGTTTTCTCTGTCTTTGTGGGTGGAACCTTCTTCAAGCTGCAAAGTACTTCGATCAATCAGGCTACAGTACAGCGATTCATGTCCTTGCCATCGTTGAAGGCCATCAAACAAACCCTCTTCACTTTCTCCATTGGACTGACCCTGCTATATATGGGATGTGTCTATGTGGGCTTGGTTTGCTATGCCACCTACTATGACTGCGATCCTATGTCCACAGGGGTAGGCTATATAGATACCACTATTCAGTACACCTGATTCATATTTTTATCTTTATGTTAGCTTGCTGGACGCCGTGATCAGTTGGTTCCTCTGCTGGTAATGCGTGTTCTGGGAGTTGTTCCCGGATTGCCAGGACTCTTTGTATCGGCTGTGTTCAGTGCTGCTTTGAGTTCTTTATCAACACTCCTCAACTCTTTAGCCGCTGTTATCCTGGAGGACTTTGTTAAGCCACGAATGGGGGGATCTATGAAGGAGAGTCATGTGGCCCTCACTATGCGTGTGGTGGTGGTGACCTTTGGAATTAGCTCCATTTTTATGGTCTATGTAGTTGAGAAACTGGGAATGGTGCTGCAGCTATCGGCAACCCTCCAGTCGAGCTTATATGGACCAATGTTGGGCATTTTCACGGTGGGAATGCTAATGCCTTGGGTTGGCGAAAAGGTGGGTCCAATCTAAAACATTTTCTTAATAACTTTGATAATATTAATTGCTATTTTATTATAGAGCATGTTTGTGGGCAGCATTGCTTCCTTCCTAACCACGGCGTGGATAGCGGTTAACGCTCAAATTGCCAATATTACTGGAAGCTTCAGACACACCAAATTGCCCGTATCCGTGGAAAACTGTGACTATGAATTCGATATGACCCGCTACCTGAACTCTACATCAGAATAGTAAGTTGATTTGGTTTAACCTTAAACATAATTTTAAACAAGCAACATTTTACCTTCAGCGAGCCTCACAGTGGATCTTCTATATATCACATCTCGTTCCTATTATACGCTATGTTGGGAGCCCTCCTCACCATTATAGGCTCGAACTTGGCCACTCTTGTGTTCGGACGTCAGGATGTGAAAGATGTAGACGAGAACCTACTGGCTCCATTTGTTCAGCGCTACATGCGAAAGAACAAGTACTATGAAACTGTGGAGCTCAAGAAAGTAGATGTTTCTAAGCTAGACGAGAGCTCTGATTGAGAAACTTAAGATCGGACTTTGTACTTGGTATTACCATTTATAACGAAGCTTTCCCATGCTTAAACATTTTGTTCCTATTGATCTGTATGAATCTACTCATACTTCAACACATATTTTTTTAATTTCTTTACTTTGCTCATATTATATATTTAATCATCGGTTTATTTGGTTCCTTTTACATTAATTAAACTTTAAATTAGCCAAGAGGCTTGGTTTATTTGTATTAATAAATAAAAACCTAAATTGTATTCTATTTTAAAATTCTTTTATTTATTTCATTGGTTTTGAATTATCTGTTAGAACTGTCAGTGGCAAAACATGAAATGGATTCCGAATCCTCAGGATTCCTTATCAATGCATTGCAACTGAAGGTCATATCAGATTTTCTGTTTCTCAAAATGGATAAAAGACAATCTTTATTTGCCATTAGTCTGACCATTTTTACGGACTAATTTTCGTCGGGGAATCGGGCAATTGCGAACGTAAGGTGGATAGGTCATGGCCGGCAGACATACAATCTGTCTATGGCTAGATGTTCGGGATAAACAGCTCTTGGACACCTTTCGGGAGGGTTGACTGAACCGCCTGGATACGGACGAAGTGCGCCCCGAGATATCCGGCATACTGTAAGAAGTGGATCGCCTTTGGAATACAGGAGTATTTGTATGTTTCGATGGTGACCGGGATAACCTTTTGCACCTGGACATGGTTTCCTGATTCGTACAGGACTGGCACATGTGATAGACCAGGGGCGCCTGCTGTTGGCACAACTGATGCTGTGGAACGCACGCATCGCCACCTGTGCTTCTCTTTGAGAGATCCTTGCTGCAACTCCTGCTCTGTGGAACCCGTTCATTCTGTTTTTCCATGCATCCGCACTTCCGCTTGCTTTCACGCTCTAACTTCAGTTCCTTATCCTGATCTCGCTCCTCTTTTCGCCGCTGCTTGTTCAACTTCGCCTGATTGAGCGCCCTGTAGTGCACCGTTTGGTTGTCGATAAGCATTTGGGTAACAAACTTGAATTGGTTTAAGTTCGTTTCACTCTGGGCGGCAATTTCTAGAGGGCATGACAATTTTATGATTCAAACCCAAAGAATCCTATGAACTGTAAAAACTTACTGCTGGTGACATCCCTATAGATTTTGTTGAGCATTGCCTCCTGGTTCTGTAACTCCTTGGACAACCGCTCCATCTTGGTCAGGGACTCCTTGAAGCACTTCGATACCATACGCTCCACAGCCTCCTGTACGGACTCCAGAACATTGTCGTGAATGATGCTGAAGAAATCAGCAAAGGATTCCTGGAGATCTCGATTGGGATCGTTGCTGGGACTAGAGTGCATTTTATCCTTTGAAGCCTCGTCTCCACCGGATTCGCGAGTATCTTTTGTACTTGGACAAATAACAGGTTTCAGCTTGAACCCAACGCTTTTGGAAGACGTATCCTTCCTCTGGTTTTTTGTACTCTTCCTAGAGGATACACTGGAGTTCCGGATTTCTGATCTAGTACGGCTCCTTTGCCTGGCTGCTGACTTCACTGAGCTAGCGGAATAACGACCACTGCTGCGCTGGTAACTATCCCTGGTGATACAACCCCTCCTTATAACATCATAACCCGAATGTCTGGCCGACTTTGTAAAGCAATAATTTGGAAACATGACTTTTTGACGAATTTTTAAACTGTAGGTCGACTTAAAACTGGCGGTTCAGATTATTATGATAAAAACTTTGGCTTGGCATCGACATCCACAAAGTGATAACGTGGGGTAATACGTCTATACTAAATTGTTTTGCAGCTACTTAATTTTGAAATTTTTTTTTTTAATTTTGAAAGGTAAAGCCAAAGTTTTTATTCTACACCTAACAAAGTAATCTGTTGTCTTTCCCAAAAGCAAAGGCAGATATAAATTAAAATATATTCTAAGTAAACAATGTTTTTCTGTTTTTATTATCATGTCTCCTCTATTGTTTACTAATTTGCTAATAGCATTTCAATTAAAACTTGACAAATAAATTGCGAAATCATAATTGCAAAAATTTCGCAACTGTCCGCCGTCTAGAGTAAGCTTCTTAATGGATTTTTTTCTCCGTCTCCATCTCCCTCGAGTCCATTGAGGCTTAGGGAAAAGTATACCAGCAACAGGACCTGAAATGAATTTGTTTACTCACTGTCCCATTAAGTTTCCATAGTTTCCCACTGTTCAGCCAGGCGATTAAATACCAGGAAGTGGAGAATGCAAATTCACAAGGGTTGGTGCCTCTCATGAATTTAACCAGCCACAAGGCAAACATAAACAGATTCATCCGAAGTTGGCATGGTAAATTTGCCATTTGCAGACAATAAGAGTAAAATATATATAACCGTTGGCTGTTTGCAGAGCCCACAGAAACCAATATGTTTTTATTGTCTGCCCGGTTTGTCGCTCAATTTATCTGTCATGTTGACTTTCCAGCATCAGTGACGTCAGTAAGGGGGCTAGTAAACAGCCCACAAAGAATACCACATCATCGCAACAATTATAAATGGAGTGAGGGCGCAAAATCGTCCTTGTGCCCATTGTTCAGTGGGGCGAACTGAAAAGGAGAATTTTTCAGCGCGTGCCAAGAAAATGAATGGATATGCGGGACACTCTTGAAATTGTTGCCTTTATTCTGCTTCTACACATAATTATGAAATAAATATTAGCTTAAACCAAATTGACTACAACGTTATGCTCTATTAACTCTTATGGTCTACTTATACTTAATGGGTTTTGGTTTAAGATGCTTGGGCATGTTTATACATCTATTAGGAGTGGCTATATACACGGATGAATCTGCGCTTAAATGGCCTTAACAGCTAGTTAGGACTGGTAAGAAATGCATTTTAAATTTCCGGTAAATGGCTGCGAGTAAACCACAACTAAAATCAGTCTGTTAAATAGAATATAACTAAGAGAGCGACTAAATGAGCTTAGAAATGGACTGAAACCTAGACTCTTAGAGTTGTCACAACATCTCAATAGTTTTTTAGGTGTAAAGGAAAAATTCTATTAGGAAAAGATCTATTGATTAAAAACGATTAATAGATATATTTTGTATTTTAAAAATAAGTATTTTCAGGTAAATTTGATAGAAATTTAGAAAAGGTTTGTACTTATATTCTCAAGAAAGTCAAATGAAATGTAAATAAATAGATTTAGATAAAATTCTAAGAAACTCCTTGAGAGACAATTTTAGCCATCACTGTAGATATCCTCATATGCTTAGTGTTAATTAAAAGTCATAATAATGCCATAATAGATCATGCATTATCTTAACTATAGATTGCTATTGGGAAAAGTACAAATAGGTTTTGAAATTCGTAGAGTAGACTTCAGATACTTACTTTTAAGAAGGACTTATATTTTGCTTTCTTGAAGCCTTTTATAAATATTTAAACTTATTGTCTAAGCCTCTGCTGCATTCACAGGATGTCCCAGTTCCTGATTTAAAGAAACTCAGCATCTCTGAAGGACGTGGGACCGTGGATTGAGAACGCGGATACTTTACGAGTGGTGTGTGCCAGTTATCATACCTCTGACATTGCTGGAACTGTTACCGTCATGGTGGGTCTTTCACAGATGACCACATGGGCATTGGTTCTGTTGTTGGACCTCCGGGAAACAGTCAACGATGTGGTCAGCGTCCTCATTGAATCGCAACTGTTGTGTAGTCGACGACCAACTGTGTTGCAGCGGTTCTGCTGCGAGTTGTTGCGGTACGATCTGCAGCAGCACCACTTGAAGGGCGGATAGCGACTGAAAGGATAAAATTCAAACAACAAGAGCAACAAGTTGAATATTTATTTACATTTTAGGCTTCGTATTTACTTAAAAGACGAATTAAATCATGGAACTTACCTTAGTGTGCGAAAAAATTGTGATGAGAATAGGCAATAGATCAATGGATTGGCTGCTGAATTCAATGGAGCCAGACTTTGGATGAAGGTGGCAATGGCAATGTTTTTCTGGGTGTTGGGGAAAAATTCAAAGACCTGTAGTAGATCAAAGATGATGTAGGGCGACCAGCAGATGATGAATACAAACACAATGGTCAGTGTCATCTTGACCGTTTTGATCTTGGCCCGGGGGATTATGCCCCTTGAACTTGCTCGCCTAGCAGGTGCGACACCATTTCCAGTGCGATCTGATTGGAAAGTATCAAATGAAATAACAAGTTAAACAATATGAAGTTTTGAGGTTTAATATTTAGATTCTCGTCTTACCAGTTGGTAAAAAAATTGAGCCATTGGTCCAAATAGTCTTAACAATGACTGCGTAGCAGGCGGAGATGACAAGAGCGGGAAGTACGAATAGAGAGAAAGCCACCAAGCACATGTATATCTGCCAGGCCGTTGGTGTACCTAGCTCAATCCAGCACTGGTGATGTCCCTGAATGACCGTGTCCTCGTACAAAACCAGAATTGGAAGCGAAAAGAGAACGGCTAGAAGCCAGGCGCCAGCTACCAGCTTATGAGCTCTTATCGCTAAAAGAAATAAATATCAATAACATTATTACACAACCTTCAACGTATATTAAGAACCAAATCTAAGAAAACTTAATACAAATTGCAGGAAATATATTTTTAATGAGAAATCTTTAGGCTATAACATACAATTATTTTTATATAACAAAATTGCCAAACTAAATTATAAAAATGCTGCAAGTATAAGCCGAAGAAACCACAAACAGCGCTTTGGCTAACAACATTTGGCAATTAGAAAACTTTTTACTCGACGACTTAACTTACACGACTTTGAGAAGTTCATCGGGTTTTTGATGGCGTCGTATCTGTCGAGGCTCATGGCCACCAGCACGTAGGTGGACGAGTATGTGACGCACACCTGCGAGAAGCGGATGACCTTACAGGCCACGTTGCCCGCCTTCCATGAAACTGTTATGCGCCATATGATATCGGTCAGCACGCTTATCAGTCCCACGGATAGATCTAAAAACAATAGACACTAGAAAAGTGCAAACTGGAATGAGGAATGGACCAATCCTCCAAACTTACCTGCCAGAGCCAGTTGTTTGATGAAGAAGTTCATTCTCGACTTGCGATTCTTGTTGATGTACATCACGAAAAGCACAGCCGAGTTGCCCACGACGATGACGCCGAACAGGATCCACAGCAGGGCAAACTGTTCCGTCTGGAAGAGCAAGAACAACAGAGTGTGGTCACATTTCATTAAACGCCTATCAAAATCATTGTCAACAAAGTGTTAAGGACGGAAATCACGCATAAAACTCAATTTAATGCCATTCAAACATACACACCCTCACACATACACACGCCTTGTTTATGGCTCTTTAAATAGCCATAAAAATGATAGAGCTATGAATTCTTGTTGGCAGGAGTGGCAACGGGCAGGATGTGCCAGCGGAAGTTTGCTTCTTCCAGTTCAGTACTAACAAGACTAGGACAACATGACATCTTACACCCAACCACCCGTAGACTCCCACCCACACACACATAAACGTGATGGAAGGCAGACAGCCACCGTTATTCCAGCAGGAAATTACTGCCAAGATGGAGGACCTGCACTTTGAAAAAAATTTTTCAAATATTTAGCTATTAAATCATTGTAGTTTTTGTGTAATATTTAACCAATGGAAAATTACTTTTTAAAATGATTTTTAAAGTCTTGTTCAGTTTTTTTGCCATAGCACAGACAAAAATGGTCCAAATAAGGAATGTAATACCTCGTAGGGCTCGTAATTTGATTGCTTTGATTCCCAATCGATTTGCATTAAAATCAGGAAAACTTCATTTTCAGCCATTTTTCGAAAATGTTGATGATGGTACCCCTTATCAAAAATGCGAAATTTAGCCGAAAATTGAATTTCCCAAAATCGAAAAACGAGTGATAGGGCTGGTAAGTGGTGGTCGTTAGCAGCACAAAACAGTTGTTCTTTTGGCTGTACGACTTGTTTTGACCGAGCTAGAGCTAAAAACCGAACACAGTACTGCAAATTTCTGTTAAAAGTGAGTTCCCTGATTTTTCAGCCATTAAATCAGAGCTCGCACCAAAGAATCAGAATAATATTGATATAAGCAAGTATAGGGGCATAGAGTTTTGGCTGTCAGCTGCATAAAGCAGTCACTGGTTTAGCCGAGCGTCTTGTTTTGACAAAGTTAGAGCTAAGAAACGGCAGAAAACCGGGCTCTCTGCTGTCAAAAGACGTATACTTGGCTTTGTGTGCAAAAAAATCAGTTTTTAAGCCATAGCACAGCCAAAAATGGTCCAAATGAGGAATGTAATACCTCGTAGGGCTCGTAATTTGATTGCTTTGATTCCCAATCGATTTGCGTTAAAATCTGTAAAACTTCATTTTTGGCCATTTTTTGAAAATTTTGATGATGGTACCCCTTATCAAAAATGCGAAATTTCGGCCAAAATTGATTTTCCCAAAATCGAAAAACGAGTGATATGGGTGGTAAGTGGTGTTCGTTAGCAGCACAAAACAGTTGTTCTTTCAGCTGTACGACTTGTTTTTACCGTGCTAGAGCTAAAAAACCGAACACAGTATTGCAAATTTCTGTTAAAAGTGGGTTTCCTGATTTTTCAGCCATTAAATCAGAGCTCGCACCAAAAAATCAGAACAATAATGATAAAAGCAAGTAAAGGGGCTTAGACTTTTGGTTGTTAGCTGCATAAAACAGTCACTGGTTAAGCCGTGCGTCTTGTTTTGACAAAGTTAGAGCTAAGAAACGGCAAGAAACCGGGCTCTCTGCTGTCAAAAGACGTATACTTGGCTTTGTGTGCAAAAAAATCAGTTTTTAAGCCATAGCACAGCCAAAAATGGTCCAAATGAGGAATGTAATACCTCGTAGGGCTCGTAATTTGATTGCTTTGATTCCCAATCGATTTGCGTTAAAATCTGGAAAACTTCATTTTTGGCCATTTTTTGAAAATTTTGATGATGGTACCCCTTATCAAAAATGCGAAATTGCGGCCAAAATTGATTTTCCCAAAATCGAAAAACGAGTGATAGGGGTGGTAAGTGGTGGTCGTTGGCAGCACAAAACGGTTGTTCTTTCATCTGTACGACTTGCTTTGACCGTGCTAGAGCTAATAAACCGAACACAGTATTGCAAATCTCTGTTAAAAATGGGTTTCCTGATATTTCAGCCATTAAATCAGAGCTCGCACCAAAGAATCAGAACAATATTGATATAAGCAAGTATAGGGGCATAGAGTTTTGGCTGTCAGCTGCATAAAGCAGTCACTGGTTTAGCCGAGCGTCTTGTTTTGACAAAGTTAGAGCTAAGAAACGGCAGAAAACCGGGCTCTCTGCTGTCAAAAGACGTATACTTGGCTTTGGGCGCAAAAAAATCAGTTTTTTAGCCATAGCACAGCCAAAAATGGTCCAAATGAGGAATGTAATACCTCGTAGGGCTCGTAATTTGATTGCTTTGATTCCCAATCGATTTGCGTTAAAATCTGTAAAACTTCATTTTTGGCCATTTTTTGAAAATTTTGATGATGGTACCCCTTATCAAAAATGCGAAATTTCGGCCAAAATTGATTTTCCCAAAATCGAAAAACGAGTGATATGGGTGGTAAGTGGTGTTCGTTAGCAGCACAAAACAGTTATATTTTTGGCTGTACGACTTGTTTTGACCGTGCTAGAGCTAAAAAACCGAACAAAGTAATTTCTGTTAAAAATAGGTTTCCTGATTTTTCAGCCATTAAATCAGAGCTCGCACCAAAAAATCAGAACAATAATGATAAAAGCAAGTAAAGGGGCTTAGACTTTTGGTTGTTAGCTGCATAAAACAGTCACTGGTTAAGCCGTGCGTCTTGTTTTGACAAAGTTAGAGCTAAGAAACGGCAAGAAACCGGGCTCTCTGCTGTCAAAAGACGTATACTTGGCTTTGTGTGCAAAAAAATCAGTTTTTAAGCCATAGCACAGCCAAAAATGGTCCAAATGAGGAATGTAATACCTCGTAGGGCTCGTAATTTGATTGCTTTGATTCCCAATCGATTTGCGTTAAAATCTGTAAAACTTCATTTTTGGCCATTTTTTGAAAATTTTGATGATGGTACCCCTTATCAAAAATGCGAAATTGCGGCCAAAATTGATTTTCCCAAAATCGAAAAACGAGTGATAGGGGTGGTAAGTGGTGGTCGTTGGCAGCACAAAACGGTTGTTCTTTCATCTGTACGACTTGCTTTGACCGTGCTAGAGTTAATAAACCGAACACAGTATTGCAAATCTCTGTTAAAAATGGGTTTCCTGATATTTCAGCCATTAAATCAGAGCTCGCACCAAAAAATCAGAACAATAATGATAAAAGCAATTAAAGGGGCTTAGAGTTTTGGCTGTTTGCTGCATAAAACAGTCACTGGTTTAGCCGTGCGTCTTGTTTTGACAAAGTAAGAGTTAAGAAACGGCAACAAAACCGGGCTCTCTGCTCTCAAAAGACGTATTCTTGGCTTTGGGAGCGAAAAAAATCAGTTTTTTAGTCAAAGCACAGCCAAAAATGGTCCAAATGAGGAATGTAATACTTCGTAATCTTTATCCTCATGCGTCACCAAAATAAGTCAGAATTCTTTTCATAGCTTTGTTAAAAATTGTCAAAATATGGAATGTTTGTAGTCGATTTGCATTCACAGTTTAAAATGTCATGTTTTGGCAAACATACACAAATGTTACTAATGAACTCTAATACCTTCTTTTTAACATTTTTACAGCAATATTAAATTTTCTTTTAACTCATCCCCCAGGACACACAGCTATTGAAGGTAAGTTTGAATTATGGCCTCGGGGTCTTGCAGTCTGACGCCAACACTGATGTTGATGTGGACTTGCTTAAGGGCAAGCTGGGTAAACTTGTCCCAAAAAAAAGCTAAAATCTTGACAGGCTTCGTCCTTGGAACTGCGCTCAGACTGAAGACGCCCCACCTTATGCTACAACTTTTTGTCCGCCCATACTTGCAGTATTCACTTTTTTGGTCGGCCTAAGTGGAAGTTATATATATAGAAATATATATATATATAGTATATATATAAAGGCAGAGATATTGTGTTCCGTCGACTTTTTGGCGATGCTGAGACTAAGACTGTCCTGCCGCCTGCCAGTCCATCATGTTGCCCAAATTGGCGCATAAATCAACAAATGAGCAAAACGGCTATTTTTACTCATTCGTGGCACATCCTGTCTGCCCCGTTTTTCATTATTCGCCGGTGTCGCGTTTTATTATTAAATGCGGGTGCCTTCATTTGTTAGTGGTAAGAATTTTCTTTCGATTCTTTCTTATGTCGAACTTTGATTTTTGATGTTTTACCAGCAAGTGACTTGGCGAGTTTCCTTAAAGCCTTTATCGGGGATTTGTGTCTTGAGGTGTTTGTGCTCGGCAGCTAAAGTGCAATTTTCCAGCGTGACTTTCAGAAAAGTAGATTCTCGCTTGAAGTGAAGTTAAGGCAGTCGGAACTTTTCACTCGTTGCAAAACTTTTTCCCATTTGATGTTGGCTCAGCTCTTATTTTTATTAGGAACTATTTCTGGGTGAAATTTTTCGCACGTTTTGTGTTTTTTTATTAGGAAGAAGTCATGGCAATACTTGACTTAACATATTCATATATTTTACACTCAACCAAAGTAAGAAGAAGACTTCATTTTCGATTTTGATCTTGAAATTGTATTTTAAGTGGGACTTTTAAAGTTGAGAATGTATGTTTATCATTAAATTTCAAACTAAAGGTAAAATGTATACTAATAATAAAATAATTTTAAAGCATTTAAAGTAAAGTTTAGGGTAATATAAATATTTTCCTTTTTCCTTTTTTTTAAATATGAGTAAGATATGCCTGAACTCTTTTAAACACAAAATAACTTTGCCAGATTTCTTTTAGTCAGCTTTAGATTTTTATTATGTCCCATGCTGTGGGTGCTATAAAAATGTAATAAATGGCACATTGTAAGCCTTTTTTAATGATCGACCATTTCTGGTTGCCCTTTTATTTATTTTTTTCTTGCTTACTTTTCTACCATTTTAACGTGTGTGTGTCTGCGTTGGTTGCCCTTTTTTGGCAAGTCATTATGCCTTTTTCAATTTGGCTTTGCACCTCGAGGAAATTGCTTTTTTTTGGCTGTTTGGCTGCGAGGAACATTAAAAGTGCGAAATTTAATTTGAACCAAAGGA